ACCTGGAATATATGTGACGCTTATAGAGGTTGTGCATCATTGACAAAATGTAAACTATTTTGGAAGTTGTTTATTTATTCATAACTTGAAATCACTATAAGTAAGTTTGTTGTGTCGTACCATCATTAATTGGTCTCAGAAAGTTATACAATTTAGCATCATGGCGAGAACTAGCTGATCTCCACCGAAAAGCCATTTATGATGTTCTGGAACGGAATATTTCTCATTTGGATAGTGTATTAGAAACACTTACTATTGACCGATACTCGATGTCAGTTGCATCGATATTGCTAGTTAAAATGAATCAAATTTATACTGAAAATGTGAAAGACAGGGTCAGATTTTTATATTATATTTAAAATTTGTCTTTAGTATGCTTTCTTTATAGAAATCATTTTTCTAAAGTTTTCGTACATCATTTTTTATCAGCATATCTTCGGATATGTCGGATAGGAGGCATCATTTTACATTTCATTATGTTGCAGTTTATGTTTCAATCTCACTTTGTTTTTTGTACTAAGAATGAAGATGAATTAGCAAAAAAACCTTCGCTGAAAGTAGAATGGTAATGATTGAAGTTCTGTTATGAAAAAAAAAATCTGATTTATAGTTTGAACGTACTTTGTCACAAGTGGAATCGATGGTTCCGTTTTTTGATAGTATGCAGATCTCATTCATTCCTGATATTTGTGAGTTTATCTAATTTTATTTTCATAAGTTGTTTACAGGTTTCCCTTGAGATTCAAATTTAAATAATGTAAATTTCATACACACAAATGGTGTTATGTCCTATCACTTCTATTTTTAGATGTGTTGCTTTTCCGGAAAGTATACGAGTATTGTCTTCTTCAAATTAACAAGGTATATTTAATATTAATAACTACACTATTGGATTTTTTATATGCTGCTTTATAAAATATAGTCTAGATAAAGAGGTATTTTTTTTTTATATTCATATGGCGATATGCTTGGGAAAATTTTTACCGATGGAAAGTTCTCATGGCAAGTGACAACCCACTGAAGTGATTTCCAGAAACTATTTGCCTAATTTCATCAGATCACTTGATTTCCTTGGGAAGCAAATGAACATAAGCTTTGCTCTTGCTAGGTTATACATTACACGAACTACAATAATTGGAAGTACCAAAATTATTGAATGTCTTACACTATAACCATGCTATGAGAATATAATTTTCAAGTATATAATGAAATTTGCAGCCAGCTCGTGGTATTATGTTACTTTCAAATGCAATCAGTGTATTGGTAAAAGAAGAAAGGGACATCCTTACCTCGCTTCATCCATGTCTTTTTTGTTTGTGCCTTAAGGCTCGTATACATGATCCAGCCATACCATTCTTACATCTTGCTGTGCCGAAAATATTTAAGGAGGTAGGCATGAATTTAAATAATTTATCAATAACACTTTTATTTCCAAAATTATATTTACACAGATTGCAATTTCCTGTATAGTTCTGCTAGAACCTAAAGTAAGTGCTTTTTATTTAGGTTGATCATGCGGTTTATTTAGATCGATCATTTATTTGGTTTCGTAGAAACTTGGTGTGAAAATACGATATATAATCGCTTCTACATGCTTAATGTAATATTGTCCTGATTGTAGACTACAAATCAAACAGGGCCCTATATGGATCCAAAATGGGTGGTGTTGTATTTTTACTATGGTGGTTTGCTTTATGCGGTTCTAGGCCGTTATGAAGAAGCATTTGCAATGATGCAGAAAGCGTGCTGCATTCCAGCAATAGCTCCTAGCGCGATAATGCTTCGAGCTTATAAGGTTATTTTCTGATATTAAGGTCATAGAGCTAAATACGGCGATTATTATATTGGACGGAGTTTAATCATGAGAATGTAGTTAGATCACATATACATGTTATCCGCAAGGAAGTTTGGGTACATTAATTTTCATTTGCATTCGAATATCTTCAATTACTGTTATTGTCACACTATGGAATAGAAATAGTATTTGGAATAGGTATTTGGATGAATTTTAAAGTAAAATTTGTACAAAATTTGCATAATTTTCCCATAAATTTGTAGACGTATGTGCTATTATCATTGCTTCTGCATGGGAAAATACTTCGCTTATCTAATTACCGATCGCCAGTGATAACCCGCAGCATTATTCCACTTTGTCCGGATTATTCAGCATTGGAAAGAATATGTGACAATGAAGAAGAGAATTTCGATAAAGCTAGTGCCATACTTGAATATCTGGAAACACATTACGCTACTTTCGAAAAGGTATTTATTCGTAAGTAGTTTTTCCAGTGGATTTTGGAGAAAGACAAAAATTGTGTAAAGATCTGGAATAAACGGGTCTAAACGGTTGTGTTATGTTATGCGGTGTTACCGAGTTTTTTTCTGCTTAAATCTTTTACTGATGTTAAAGAAAGGAAAACTAACCTTTTAAAGTAATTTAATATTTTTAAGCGAAATCAGTTAAATATAAGTCCGTTATATCATTTCGAAACGTATTTTCTAATTTATATTTTTTACAGGACAAGACCGTTGGCTTGGTGAAACTTGTAGTTAGAAGTATTCGTGAAAATTCAGTTAAAAGGCTAACTGAGGTTGGTTATTCTTAAATGTATTTGTCGAAATATAACCAGTTAGTTACTGTTTGCTATAGAGTTATATATCTTCAGGGCATCTTTTTTTCTGCTAGGGTATACTGCAAGGAGCTGGAAAATGTTTCTTATCTGAGCTTTCAGAGGTTTCTTGATATTGGTAATGAAACATCGCTGTAGATCAACTGATCTATAGAAGTCCAGTTTGGAATTTAGTTAGCAGCATGAAAGAAATGAGATTATGTTGATTATGTTGTTGACTGAATTTTAATTTTGAACTTGATAGGGCTGCAAAACTTTCTTATATTTATTTTAACTCACAAACGAAATTTTTACGACTGCCAAAATATCTCCGAAATATTAATCTAAGTTAAGTGTTCATTTGAAATTGATTTTTTTCGAAAAAGTATTGGTAGGGTCTTTTCTAGTTCTTTTGAACTTTTGATTTTTAACGGAGTTTTTTTATGTAGTGTTTCATATCAATTTCAGTGTTTCATATCAATTTCACTGTCGGATGTAGCACGACGATGTCATCTAGATGACAGTGATCACGCTGAATTCTATCTTCGTGAAATGAATAAAAATGGGAAAATTAATGTGCGTATTGACAAGAAACAAGGCGTTGTTTATTTTGATGAAATGAAGGTTTGTTATATGTTCACTTTTATAATATTGTAAATAGATTAAGATTATTAAGCTAGCATCGGAATGACCAATGTGCTCAATGATGAAAGAGGAATGAAAGAAATATAAAAGAAAATTAAATTTTAATTTCACTAGTGACTTGATTTTGGATCTTGAAAAAATTATTACTTTTAATTCACTGACGAGAATATTCTTTTAAGACAGAAGCAGATGAGCATAAAGTGGATAAGGCCGCAAATTCTATATACACGTTGGATGCTTTAATGAAACAATTTGACGATCGGATTCGCGTTAATCCTTCCTACATTTCACGCGTTGGACGACCATTAGCACGAGGAGTTCCTGCAGTCCCTCCGGATGAAGGTTTGGGACATCCAGGCTCTATTTTTATGCCTAACGTTAATGTTGGTGATATTGAATCAGCAGCTGGTAGACCTATGGATATGGTTGATTAACTGTTGCTTTTATGAAAATATAGCTCTCTACATTTTTACAGTGGTTATCTGAGTTCCCAAGTGACCAATTTCAACTTAGATTGCATCACAGTGATCATGAAACATTAAGCGTGCGGGACTATTTAAGGGAAATTCAGCAATATCTGATTTCGTTTTCATGAAAAGAGACAGACAGCCTTTCCATGTTAACTGTATATGTTTTTTATTTCTCTATTTCTATCTTTGCACTGTTCCATCTTCATTTTCTAATAAAAATGTATTTCAGTTTGGTTGAAGCAAAATATTATTGTATCCATATTTTCTTAAATAGGCTGATGACAGTTACATCTGACGTTGTATTTGCAATCATTACTCACTGTAATGTGGATTCTGTTCTCACACTCCCAGATGTATAGATAACATTTGGCAGTTTATCCTGATAGCAAAGGCCTCCTCTGCCTCATCTTTAACTGAGAAGTGAAGTAAAATAAATAGACTCTCGATGGACACACAATAAAATATCGTAAATTTTTTTGAAATAATGTCCAATAGCACAACATATAATATAACTGGCCCATATAATCTACATTGCTATACTACATATATCTGCATATCCAGAAAACTCCTGAAGTTACTCTCGAGTTTCTGAGAAATATACGAAAAATACATTTAAGAAAAAATAGAGAAATATATATATCTCCACATAGGCCCCTATAAATACTATTTTACAATAGTCATTGGAGAGAGAATTTCTAAACTAATTTACAATAACAACAAAGTAACATTTGTTGTACAACAACAACAATAACATTTGCGTCTTTTTTACAAATTAAAAATTTAAACTTCGGGCTATATTGGCATTTATTGTAATGTTACGAAGAAATTGGCCAGTGTGTTTCAAGAAGTGTTGGCCCCACAGAATCAATAACAACACAAGGCCATAAGTTATGTTAGATTTGCTTCATAATTTGGCATTCAGATTACAGAATATTGCAGTAAATTTTCAGAATCAAAAGAGAAAATCTATTTTTGCAAAAGGGATTTTGGCATGCATAAAATGGTCCACAATAAAAATTTACAAATGAAACGATGCGAAGGTAGCGATAAAAATAACAAAATAACAAAAGATAAAGCAATACCAAAGTAGTACAAAAAAGCAACAACGTGGCGATTGTTTGGAAAAAGTTTTTTCAACAAAAAACAATCATAATAAACTTTCCAAACGTATAGGAAGAAGGAGTGAAAATAATATGAAAAGAAAGTGGTAACAATCATAGAAAGTATTTTAAAATCTTTAACGATGTCCAATAATTCTTGGCATTGAAACAGAAGTTTAAGTTTCAATTTTATCAGCCGTTGATTCAATACGCATCGAAAAGCATTGCTCATTCACCAATCCTGCTGTTGGTGCTGTTGGTGCTGCTGGTGCTATTACTGTTGCTGTTGGTGTTGCTGGTGTTACTGGTGCTACTGGTGGTGCTGGTGCTGCACTATGATTGAGGTGAATGTTTTGGCTTGGACGGTTAATATATGGATATGTGGTACTGATTGTATCAGGCCACCAGCTCATCTAAAAATAAGACAAATTAGATTCTAAATTTTTTCTACATTCTGAATTACCCGAACTTCTTTTTTACTCAAATTAAATGCTGCCAACTATCTAATCCACTATTAGCTAACCTGTTCTAAACCCGGTGTTAACGACATACTGTTTGACTGTACTGCTCCGGTACTTAACCAGTGGTTATATGCTTCATTTTTTGAAAAATCTGATTGTTCCCGATTTATTAATAAATCCAATGGACGTAACTAGAATTGGGCTTAATTTATGATTCATTTATTATCCTTTCTCATTTACTATCTGAAATATGTGCCGATAGAAGCACACGTAACACACGTAATAGCATCAAATGTAATCTCACGTGACAGCATCAAATGTGATCTGAAGATGACTGATCCTTTTTGTTGAAAGAAAATAAATTTTGAAAAATCTAAAAAATAATAAAACCAACAGGATGTGGTGGCAGGATTCTGTTATCACCGGTTAATGGTGTCTCATGAAATGGGGAAAACTGATAAGATGCACTATCCAAATTTTCTCTCTGAAATTATCCTTGTTAAATTTTCAAGAATGTTACTAAACCAAAAAGTTTTAATTGTAAGAGAAACATCAAATGTAGTTTGTCACTCATAAAATGTACATTCTGTGTAAATTAAAATTTTTGGGAAGGATTATTAAAGAGAAAAAGTTTTATTGGTAACGATATTATTGTTTATTAAATTTTTTTTTTCCTTTATTTATAAAGACATCAATTTTTTGATATAATATTTTCGACAAATTCGTCAGTGATAGCTAAATTATTGATGCTTCATGCATACCGTAAATTTTACAGAATATTTATCGAAAGTTTCCCAAACAACTTAAACTTACATATTTTGCATTTACTTCAGGTGAATTGTTGGTACCTGTACTTCCAATACCAGAATCACCGTCTGATACACGTTGCGTTGTACGCCAGCTTTTTAAATTCTAAAATTTATAATTTTAGAATTCTAAGATAATTAGAATTATCTTTGATATGAAAAATTTTCTAACCGCATTCTCGTGAATCGGAGAGATGCGACGAAGTTTACGTTCATAACCAATTGGTACATTTTGACCCATTGGAGTAATTGTTACTGGTGTAGGTTGTAGACTAGTTATTGGATAATTTTGTTCCAAATTCCAGAAACGCTGTAAAAAAATTGAAACTTTTTCAATTTTAAATTTTTATAACCTTTAAATTTTATAAATTTTAGAAACTTTAGCATTTTGTAAAATTTTTAAAGAAAACATACACGTGCAGAAGATGATGATAATGTATTATTTGGAGTATTCATACGAATTTCATAGTCATACGGATGTAAACCAGGATAAACAAAACGTGCAATACGAAGTTCATGTGGACCATGTGCAAACCTGAAATTTTACTTTTACGTATTTTTGTTAAAGAAAACAAAATTTTAGGATTTTTTATTGAATATATCCATATGATTAATAATAATAATAGTAAAACTATTCACAAACCAACAACGTTCACCAAATCGGCATGGTATTCCGGCACTCCAAAAATCGCATAATGCTGTTTTATATAATTCACGATTTCGTGGACTTGGCGTTTTTGATGTACGAAGCTAAAATTACTATGTTTTGTAAATTTTTTTTTTTGAATTTTTTAAAAATTCAAAAAAAGTGTTTCATATTTTTAGTTGAAATTTATATGTTACTTACATATTTTATGCAGTAAATTTAGATATTTATTATTGAATCTATAACGATATTATTGCTACAAATAAATTTGTCCACTTTTAGGATATGAAAATTAGTAGTACATTTAAGTATCATTGTAATAATAATAACAGTTATGAAGACATTGATTATTAAAAGTACTAATAATTACTACTAAAATATTAGTACTAACATGAATTTCATTTGGATAAGTTAATGGAGCATTCTGCATTTGAGCTTTTCGAAGCATAAATTCATTAAATAATTGTTTCTGGGTTTCTAGTTTTAGTGCTGCCACTTTTTGCTCTAATGAAGCTTCATCCCATTTTAAATTATAATTTTCATATAGCCTGAAATGCAAAAAAAAACAACAAATTTGTGAAGTAAACAGAAACTTTCACATTAATCAGCTTTAATGATCTAATCCATTACAGATCATTAAGATCACTTTAATACTCATTTAACAATCTTAAATTGACAGCACAAAAGTTTTAGCAAATCTTACAATCATATACAGTCTAAGAAATTGCACATTTTAAATTTATTCTTTAATGAAATTAACAAATTTTTGCTTTGAATTAATATATAAAATGAATTTAAACTAGAAATTGATTATCAAAAAACTCCCAATTCTAGAATTTAAATATCTAAGAAAAATTAGAATTTAAATATCTCTCCATATTTTTCTCTTATACTACATAAAATGATTCACTACCTTTTACTTAATATTCAAAGTCTTAAAAGTTTGAAATTTATAGATATACTTGCTAACAATCTAAAAAAATCATAAATCTGTATTCTGTTTTAATCCAAAAATTATTTCTCTAAAAAAAGAAAAATATTTTGTTTTAAAAAATATCTTTAATTTTTTTTGCATTTATTTGAATTCTTTCACATATGAAATATTTATATGATTAATTTTAATGTTTACTATTTGATTTAACAAATATTTTTCTATAATTTTGTCAATATCAACTCACGTTTGATCTGCTAATGTTGTTGACAATGATGGTAGTGTAGTAGTAGTAGTTGAGATGCCGCTTAATTTAGGATAAAATATATTTCCATCACTATTAATAGTAGTTATACCATTTGTTTGATCATGTAAATTGGATAAATTAGACATCGTTTTTTAGACTATACTGATAGTAAATTGTTAAACCACCTACTCTACGACAATCTGAAAAAACTAACATATTGAAGTGGAAATTGTTGAGCTAAATAACTAATCTAATTTATGATCTAAGTTGCAAAATTTTTATATGATGTTATAGATATGAATAAATCAATCATTTCTTAAGACAAAACGATTAACCATTCTCAAACTATATTTCATGCTGTAAGCATTTACTTAACTAAAGATTAACTGATAATAAATAAGTTATGCTAAGCTACTGATTGTTTCAAAGCACTTCGATGTAATCATATATAAATAAGTGAACCTAGAATTATCCAAATTAACTAATTCTGACCAACCAAGAAGTAAGCCATAGGAAAGAATAATGGCTAAACATTGAAAGATAAATAATGATCATATCAAGGCGCTAAGTGTATCCCGCTTTTTCCTAAAATATCTACTTGAATTGGACTTGGACTAAAAGTGATCAAAAGTTAGCATCTTTTCCCAGAAATTGCTAATTCCAAACTTCCATGCATAAAATAAATTGTGCAAATTTTCTATACCTGGTACTTTTCTGGCTTGATAAGCTAAGAAGTTTACGAATCAAGGAATTTTAAATCTTTAGAATAGCAGAACTTTTTATATATCTGGTGCTCGACTTTAAATAAGTATACCTGCAGCGCATCTGCATGCCAAAATACTTCATGGTATCAGCCGTCTATCAGTTACAGATTTAAAAAAGTTTTAGTTTTTTTTGAAATCAAATTGCTCATTTCCAGCTTTCACATTTCACAGTACTAAGTTCAATATTTGCCAAATTAACCAGTTTGACAAACCTACATATTACTTGTTGATCAATGCTAATAATTCAATTAGGAAATCCTGGAATAAACATATTGTTTCAGCTAATGACATCTTGAATACTCAGATTAATTCATTTTCCAGACCGAACCAGTACTCTTAATACAACAGACTTTAAACATTTATGAATTTGATCTCTGATCACTGCTTTGGTAATTATCATCTAAAAAATATGCTTTACAGACTGTTAAGCACAAATAAAATTTAACCACCGCAATGGCAACCTGAATCTTTTCGCACCTGTATTATGGCTGAACTGAGCAGTTCGTTTTCATGTCAAAAAATCTAACACCTTATAAATTTTTTCACAATATGAGACAAACTTCCGAAAAAACATTTAACTAAAGTTCGAGTACTTTCTTATCCAGGAGTATCCGAATAAACAATAACAGCTACCAATCATGAGGTAACGAACATTGAAAGAAAGCTTCCCCATCTGCAAAAAACAATAGTATACAAGTGAAACTTTAGAATATGCTTCCAACAACTTTGATCCTTCACTAATGATATTTGAATCAAACATCCATATAATTACAAGAAATCTTCCGAGCCTGATTAAAGTCAGCATAACTAGTCTTAAATTTTGACAAAAATACGAACTAAATTACAGTCGAACCAGAAATCTAAGACGAAAATACAATTTTGAACAGAAACAAAATGAGATTCCTATCATGTTGCTGCAGTTATCAACTTTTCAGATTATCACTGTTATCAGCCTTATTAATCCCTTGAGTCGTTTTCTCCAAATTTCCACTGCTATCAACTATTTTCTTTTCTTGCATCCTTGTTTCATCCAAGGAATTTTTTTGTTGGTTCTCTTGAATGCAGCTGGCTCGAGTTAAAAATCCACGGTATTTTTCATCGTATTCCTTTTTCATTTGCCTAATTTTATCACGATCTTCATCATCTGCTAATCCAGCTTCTTTGACAATATAATCTGTTTGAGGTAATCCGTATAGCTCTTCCAAAGTAATTAGTGTAGACCAATGCGGATATTTTCGCCGACCACTCGGTGAGACGTCTTTTGTAACATCCTGCTTTGCACTGAAATTTGGAAATACAGCTCATTCTTATAATTTGAAAATAAATAACTTCAAATCAGACATGACATACCAAGCTATGATATCCTTGATATACTTCTCAGGATCAAATGCTTTATAATCTTCCAGCATTTTGTGCATACGATTCCGGAACAAATTTTCTGCCTGTAATTCCAAAATGTAAGTATTATTTGCCAATTAGAGCAGAAGGGAATTGCCACTCATAATGCAATTTTCCTTATATTTCTTTTTTAATTGGTTGCAAAATATCTGACTGACAATCAACTGAGCAATCTGGTCATAATAAATCCGAAAACTGTTTCAGATTTAATCTCTAAGTGAAGAAACCACTATATCGTTCTGAAAAAACAAGCCCAAAATTATTACTTTAGCCTTCTTCTGCCGATGATATTTTTGATATTTAAAATAATCTCTATCGTAGCGCTTTCGACGCTTATGCTTCCTCATCTTATGCCTGCGAATTTTTAACATACGTTCTCCGGTGAATATCTCAACCATTGGTGACTGTTGAGGTAACCGTAACGGTATCTAAAATAAGAATGATCAACAAAGCTTACTGTACTGCCTATTTTACAATTTGAAAGTAAAATAAGAAAAATATCTTTAAAAAAAAAATTATGAAAAAAAAAAAAAAAAACAACCAAAGCACACACTTGAAATAACGGAAGAGGGTCGAATTTTTTCAAAACTTCATTTACCAATATACCAGGTACGGAGATGTGCTGTCGATTCGCACCTGGGAAAGTAAGTACCTGGAAAACAAACATATATATTGGCACGAAATTTGGCGGAACTCCATAAAATGTGATAAGTCATTTTCATTCTTCGATGATTGATAAGATGCTCAACGTTTAATGTATCTTTATTGAGAGATTTATCGATCACAAGGATACGATGTCGAATTTTTTGATCTCAGTTTCAGATAAAATAACCTTCCTAACAGTATCATCCAGAAATTTAAAAAGTAAGCAGTTAAATTATGGAAGAATGACAAACCATCTCTTTTTGCTTACTTGGCAGTTGCCAAGGAAATTTCTGTAAGATCGGATTTAGAGAGAAGATTTTTTGCTCACCAGTTTCAGGATTTTGATATGATAGAGATAACTGATACATATGGGTCAGTTTCATCATTCGATCCCTTCCTGAAATAAAATGGAGAAGTTTTAACAAAGAAATAATTTTATCAGCTAACCAAAAAATGCTGAGACAGAAAGAAAACTAAAAAAAAAATTAGAAATGTCAGAATTTTCACAAATTGGACAACGGTAATTCGAAGCGTGAAAAGAAGCTATATCTAAAATCGACATAATCAGCAAACAAGAAGACTAGAATCTACAAAGGTATTTACTAATGACATAAATGCTTCAGAGAGCATCAATTTTCTTTTGAAACAATGGCCTTATTCTTAAGTCCATCTGTTCAACTTATCAACTGAAGAGATTGTTTATAAGTTTATATAACTGCTAGTAACTTTATATACTACTATAAAAGATAACAGAGAATACCTTGTTATAAAAATTTCACAAATCCTAATGAATAAATAATGAAGATACCACTGGAACTGGCGCTTTTGAAAGCGAGCTGTGAAAGATTTCTTTCAAATATGGTCCGAAAAATGTTCATCCCGTAAAGCAGCTGATCAGTTTATTGCCCAAAGTAGATCAGAATGATATGAATTATGCCCATTATCGCTTAAAATCATACAACGTCAAATATTTTAATCAATGTTTAACTTAATAACATAAGTCTCTATTAAATGGAGAAGAGTAAAAAGCAATGCCATATCAAATGTTTTAATTACAACACGAAATCTTCATAAAAGAAAGAAATATACAACAAAGATTTGAATAAAATTTGAATTCAACAACAACACCAGATTTTCACTGTTCGGATTCTGAAACTTTATTAACTTCCATAGCTTTCAAAAATGAAGATGCCATAGATAATACAATCAATCTATGAACTATATTTTATAATCAATGGACAGTGGCTAGTTGATGGATCGATATCACAAAGCTTTCAAGTTTTTAAAAATTTTTTCAGAAAGAAAAAACGAACTAAAATTAAATTTGAAACAGTAACAAAATTGCAATAAATAAGGAATCAATCCCCAAGCCCTTCCCATCCTACCATATTTATTAAAACACAATTTAGCAACAACCATAGATCTGCTTCTCTCAATCAATCTGCAACGGACCAACCTGTATTTTGAAATGAAACTGTCACATCCTAACACTTTTGATACATTATTAAGTGTCATAATTCGTTTCTAATGTGATAAGCAGCAAATATCAGAAATTTCCTTTTTTTTTCTTTTCTTATTTCAAATTATTTCTGTTCAAAAATTCTGATAGTATAAATGTTTAATTATTAACTTTGAAAAAATTACGCAACATTTTAAACAAATTATTAAGCAAAGCGAATAAACAACAAAACAAGATAAATTGCATATGTGTAAGAAAAAAATAATACTAAGAGTAGTAGCCATTCTTTCGAATTGTTGGCGATATCCGAAGTGGTCGATGATATTTCTGATCGTAGAGTTTTGTTACGTCATATTTCTCAATTCTTTTCGTGTCGTATGATTCACGCAATTTTCCTCGACCAATATTTCTTTCAGTACTAACACCATTTTGCTTTACATCTTTTGCTATTTTATTATTATTATTGATATTATAACCAATTGGTTGATTACCGGTACCTTTTACCGGTTCATTACTGTAATAACGTGGTACATTTATATTTGTATATTCCGTGTTTTTCGATTCAACTGGTTTGCTGTTTACGGCGTTATATTCGGAAGGATTTTCTGATACTGATGACTCTTTCGGCGGTCGACAATGATCACAACTGCCTGTTAAATTATCAAATTTAACTTTTTGATTGAAATTGTTCTATGTAATGAAAATTTGGGAAAAAACAAGGTGGAAATGAAAATGCACCTTTGTTTCCTTGTCGTCCGGGAGGTCCTGGTGGTCCCTGTAGTCCTGGTGCACCATCACTCCCTCTTTCACCTTGCTCTCCACGCATCCCTGCAACACCTATTGCTCCGGGATTGCCATCACTGAAAACTTGTTACTTAGGCAAATTTTCACCAGTTTGCAGGAAATATATTCTTTAAAAAAATGATTTTTACCTACCGTCCAGGACTTCCGACACGGCCCCGCGGTCCAGTGGGTCCTGAAAATATATACCTTCGTACTCAATCTATAGGAACTTGTGAGAATTGCGAAGAGCCGCTATAATTGGAATTTGTTTGATTAAAACTTACCTGGAGGGCCTCTCAGCCCAGCAGGTGCTCCATTGAGTATGCGCCCAGGATCACCTGGTGGTCCTTTTGGTCCATATGGCCCAGGAGGACCTCTAACACCTGTTGGTCCTGGAGGTCCTTTTCTTCCAAGAGAACCGTCATCTCCAGGTACACCTGGGTTTCTGAAGTTTCAAGTTACGTTTTATTCAATAAGCTAACTTATAAAAATCTCACCTAATTATTATTTCGACCAATTATTACCATGTAAATAACGATACAGCGTACTGACTTGTAATATGAAAAGCTTAACTCTCCTTAAGCAGTAATCCATTTTACTGAATCAGAAAATAAAAAAATATCCTTTAAATATATACCCGCGTGGTCCTCTCGGTCCTCTTTGACCAACTAATCCGGGAGGTCCTGGTGGAGCTATTGGACACTAAATCATTATATATCGTAGAATTAAATTAATTAAAATTATATCTCTACTTAGCAATGGTAATTAAAATTTTTCTCGACATTAGAAAATGCTGCTTGTCGAGAATACTAGCGCTTTCATCATATCATAGCTTTTGAAATAGTCATTGAAAAGAAATTCAAATAAAATCAATAAAATGAATAGTACCTTTTGACAAGTGTTTTCATCATTCTTTGGTGGCATCACATGTTGTCCAGGTTTACCATTTCTTCCGGGTAATCCCGGTGGTCCAACGGCTCCTGAAAAGAAATTATTTGATTCAAAAATTCTAGAATTGCATATCGTGGATTTATTGTCCTGTATAACATTCGAGTGTATAAATACTTTTCAAATGCCATCTTTTTAAAATCTTACCATCTCGTCCAGGATTTCCCGGTTCACCTGGAGGTCCAGGTTTACCCTGCTGGCAACTGCAACCTGGAATTGTCCCTCTTCAAATTTATATAAGATATGAATAAACAATTGTTAAGCTATCGATAAAGTAGAAAATTTTAAACAATTTCAACAATCAAAGTAAATTTTGTTTTGAATATAAGTTAGCTTGGTTTGAACATCCTCTCTTTGTCACTAGAATGTACTCTTCTTCATCAATTACTGAAATGTAATGTAAAGATTTAATGTTACTTAAAATTAAAAGCTATCAAGTCTATCTTAATTGAAATTAATACTTATAATTTTTTTTTAAAATTTAAAATTAATATTCAAATTTTGAAATGTGAATTTATTGTCTAAATTTTTCGGGATTGAAATTTTTTTTTTTAAAAAAAAGGGAAAGTGTAAACATTTGGAACGTGGGCGATCGTTTGTTGGAACATCGTAAAATCGACGTTTACGCGATTGAGTATTAAATTGCAATTGCAACACATTCCTCCACACATCATTGCTATTAATCTAAAATATATGAATCTTTTACCTACAATTGAATTCATTTAAATTTCTATTTTCTATTTTCATTATTATCAATTAATATCATTCTAGATTCGCGTTGATCTGTGGAATAATCAATCAATCAATCAATCAATCAATCAATCGATCAATCAGTAATTTTATTTATCTACTTGCTATCAATTGATACATCTATACAAAGACACTGTATGTCAAAAAAAAAACAAAACAAAATTTCATAACTATTTGACAATTGAAATTATCATTTTAGTTTCAAAATTTTACTTACATAACATTTGTAAAGCTCTGAAAGCAGTGCAGTGTTGGAATGTTGAATGTAAGTAAAAAATGATGGTAAAATGATGATAATAAGAAGTAATGAAATAGTTGAGAATAAGGTAGAAAGAATGACCATCAGATGTGATCGTTCCATGATAGCGATTAATTTACTATGTGAAATTTATCAGCAACAAATTTATGATATGATATTTCAGTAACTAGATGCAACACTTTTAGTTAAATTTGCCAGCATTCAGCCCGATGAATTATATCGATGTGTCGGGCGGTCAGTTCACACATATCGATGATACATTGCATTATTGCATTTGGTTGAGATATTTAGGTATATTAAATTTGAAACTGATATTGTCCTAATTTCAATAAATAATTTTATCTTATCATTATTACTATATGATTTAGAGAAAGAGAAGAAAATAGAAACAGGGATAAAGTTTTATTCTCGTGCGACAATATTTCAACCTGCACTTTTCTTAATGATTAAAAAGGAAATTTTAATAGGGTTAAAGCAGCATCACTATTATACTCTTATCATTTATCACTTAATTGAATGCTTTCTAGGAAAGTAAGTCTAATTTACATTTCACAAAATTGAAAAAGTTTTCGTTTCGTTACTTTAACTTACTAAATCTGAATAATAAAACATTGATGTATTTAAAAGTGTTTCTGTTCGAGCATAAAAATTACATTTTTATTAACAAAACATACAGATATTGAAATTTTCTTTTTTCGTGATAACTCTAATTAATTATCACTGCCTAAAAAGAATTGCATTTTTTTTATATTGTGGTTCAAGATTAAAACATCAATCAAATATCCATTTATCATACTGTACACTTCTGTAAATGATATCACAGATTGCAATACTACAAAACCAGTATGATAGCATATTTAAATTCAATCTTTTTTGAGCTGTTATTGACTTTTTAAAAATTATATAATAAACAAATAGTGCATAAATATTATCAGCTTTAATTCTTTCATTTCACTGTTTACATTCCTTCATGGATATAATTATGATCAGAAAAGATTTAATCAATAATTTGAATCACTACTATCAAATTAAGCAATGAAATGGTAATGAGCAAAATTTTTATAACATATCAGTATTTAATTCAGTTAACTTTCAAAATATGGTGCACATATACTAAGTGATATAATTTTGTTTGAAGATAAGAATAACAAACTCAATAAGTACCAACGTATTTGATAATACAATAAACAAAGATTGATTTTAATATTTTGTCAAAATAGCATTTACACGTTAATGAATCTATTTGAAAGACAGTAAGTACAAAATCCATTGCTGATAATGATAATGATAATGATAAGGAGAACATATCTTATTTCATTACACTCTCAAAAGTGTTCAAATCTCAAAAAAAAAAAACTCAACAAATATTTTCTTTAATTTCTCTACTGAATGTGTAGAGAAAGCATAACACAAAAAGAGTAAAAAATGAAAAATTAAAAAATAAATATTGATACTTACAATTTCATCAAAAAAAAGGAAAAAAGATAGCATAGAAATCGTTTCATTTCATTTAATCAGTTAAAATCATTCATGTTATCATCAATTTATCATCTACCAATTAAATATTTAAAATGACTTTCAGTAAGAATTGTAAACCGATCAATAACTAATCAATACTTTTCATCTTTAGCTCTTTCTAAATGAAATCAATCAGTGATGACACCGAGGTTTGATTTAATATATGTATGAGAGAGAGAGAGAGAGAGAGAGAGAGATGCTTGAGAGATGTTTAAATTTAATATTTAACAAAAGGAACAGCGAAACGACCTAAATGATGTATGGAATCAATAAAAGTAGGTAAATGCTGAATTGGCTCATCTAATGATTGCATAAGTGGGCCAAAAATTCGATATAGGAAAATAAGAAAATCATAGACTAATTTTTGACTGAAATGACTTTCAACCTGTGAAAAACATGAAGCAAGTATACCATCAGCTACAATTGATCCTTCTACGGTCATTGGTGAATAGATACCTTTCAGGTATTGTCTACCCACCTGAAATGAGCAATCAATAACTGATCTCAATAATTTGAATTTTAGTATTACTCATGAAAGGAAGAGTTACGATAACATGAAAAGATGGTAAAATAATAACTGTAACAAAGATACCTTTACGATGCGATCTACTTGTAATTCATGATTTGATGTCATTGTGAATACACAATCACCTATACGTGCTCTATGTGCGAACTTTGACTTCCGAAGCCATTGATCTACAATATCGGTGGTATCAGTCATACTCTCATGCATTTCTTTGCAATCACCGAACGGAAGAAGATGTAACTCTGTTAGACTTAATTTTCGGCCTGATTCCGTCTCCAATACCACAAATTTAGCTCGAGTTTCCGGTTCTCGATGATAGAACATTTCCACTCTTTCATATCTCATTTGACTTTTACTTACCGGAACGAGAACCTGTAAAAGAAAAACATGTAATTCTAGCTTTATGAAAATTATCGGCTGATAAAAAAGACAAAATCTCGAAGAAATATTCAAAATAATCTCATCCATTTGTATATTTTAATAACAAAATCAAACTTACAAAATCGCCTACTACAACATCTTTCATTGTTTTTTCACCATTTTGAGTGTAAACTTTCGTGTCAGCACTGAAACAGTTCATTGCGGGCATAGGATTAGCTCCTACGTGATGACCAGCAGCTACCGGAATCGCGGGTGGGTCATGACCTGATTCCTGTTTACGAGTTTGATTTACTGGTTTTGATGACTGTGTACTTCCAGATTTTAATTGATCTTTCAATTCATCATGTTTCTTCTCCTTTTGTTGATTTCCTGCGCTTTTGTCAGTTTTTTGCGTCAAAGTAATCTTCTGAATACAGAAATTATTTAGCTTTCTATTTCGAGATTCTTTTTTCTTTTTTTTTGAATTCCATTTTTGATATTCTCAAGCGAAAAAAAAACAATGATAGCTGTTAAAAGCATTAATTAATTCACAACCAAAACCTTTTCAGATCCTTTTGAAGTGTTATTTTTATGATGCATTGTTTCATTTGCTGGTAATTTCTTTGAAACTAATTTTTTGGTTGATTTTTCTGCAATAGTTAAATATGTTTATTTTGATAAATTTTAAAAAAAAAATACCTTTACCCTTAATTTCATAATTTCTGAATTTTCAAATTGTAAAAGTTTATTTTTGGGAAAAATAACAAATTCAATTTTGCTCAAAATTTAGAAAATAATTAATACAATGAAAGAAATTATTGCAGAAAATCATTTTCATCCTTCCGAAAGATTACAGTGCTCAATAATTCATCTATCGAATCCTTGCGTATCCCAAAAATTTTTATTGGTTTACTGCAAATTTAATCTCAAATGACACCAACCAATCGAAAAGTTCATAAGTCACATCATTTGAGTCATAAAAATAAGTTTTAAAATCTGAGAATTTATTGCTAATACAAAAAATTCAGTCAAAAAAAAAAAATGAAAGATTCGAAAAACGGAATTTGACAGCAAACCAAATTAAACTTTAAAAAGAATCACAAATTTAAATCTAACAAAAATTCAAATATGTAATAATAAATAAAAAAATTACTATAGCTGAAAGCAAAACAATGCTATTGTCAAAATAAAGTTGAGAAATTATTAGCTTAAAATTATTTTGGCATAAGATTCTATGCTAAATAATTTATGCTAGAAATCTTTAAAACGATCAAAAAATCACTGGTCAATGCATTTAAAGTAGACTTGTAATTAGCAAGATTGAATTTTTAATTCAGGAATAATCTTATTTTAAAGTAATATTCAGAGACAAACATAAATTTGAAATAAATGTAATCATTTTTCATAGCTTAAAAATGTCAATACCTTTGTGTGATTTCGTTTTTTTCACCTTTTTTGCACCATTTTTCGCTTCGCCACCTGCTAATATCTGTAAAATTTAATTGAGAAGGAAGGATTCACAGGAAAATATTCATTTAAAGTAAAAGTAAATTTCATTTAAAGTTCGTTATGCTTACTCAATGTGATATATAATTTGAAATAACAAAATGATTGCTTTATCAAAATCGATTGTAAAAGATTATTAAGAAGGATTAACACATAGAGATTTAAGAATTTAATGAAAGAGATGAAAATCTGAAAGTATTGGTGAGGAAGCTGAAAACAAAGATGTAAAGTTGACAGTAACAACACTGAACAAAGGTCACACATTTCTAATTTCATTAAAACAGTTTTAAAAAGTTTAAGAATTTGTAATTTAAAAATACCTTCCCAGTTAAATCATCACCTCCTCCTTCTTTGTTTACATTTGAATGATCTTTCCTGCTACTCTCAGTTGCTTTCGTAGCATTAGCAATATTATCACTACTGTCACCTTGATTTTTTCCTGTGCCTGAAACATTGAGTGAATTTGTCGTACGACTTGTTTACAAATACAATGAATTATTGAAATTAGATGAAATAATTTAGAAAAAACAAAATGGTACCATTTGCTTATAAACTATTTGACAAATTTTCCACAAATATTTTCAGATTGCTAATTTTTCATTTAAAAAAGAAAAAAATGATTGAAAAATTTACATAATTTGAAAAGTACCTTCTTCTATTTTTTTAGTGCCATCTTTTGTTTGGTTTCCAATTTCTCCAAATCGGACAGTAAATAATTCCTCCTTTTTTCCTGTTCCATTTGTTTTATGTGGATCTAATTCGGATTTCATATTTTCCTGATTATCTAATGCAGGAAATTTTCGTTTCTCCTGATTCAACTTTTCCTTGCTATCATTATCAGGAATATTTCCAAAACGTTCTTTTATCTTTCCTCCTTCTTTGGTAACATCAATTTTACCCACTTCTTTACTACCGTAACTTTCATCATCATCATCATCATCACAATCACTAGAATGTTTCTTTTTATGAACTCGACGATGACCTTTACTTGATTCATGAATGGACGTTTTAATACCTTCTGATTTTTGTTGACCTAAAAATAAGTATAATATTCGGATGTTGTCTAATCAATCATCAAGGTATGATTCTTTACCTTTATTATTTGGGACAAAAAAAAAATTAAGAACGTTTTCTTGTTCATTAATAAACCTTGAAACCAAATTTCTTTTGTCAGAAATTAAATTAGCAAATTGATTAAATTAGCAAATTGATTTATAATTGCATGAAAAAAAAAAAAAGTTATTCCTTTTAAGGAATTGTATAAATTAACAAAATAATAATACCTCAAACATTCATTTCAATGAAACAAATTACAAATAATCCTAATGTTTACTAATTTTTCTAGCAATCGTTTACCTTTACTTAGTTACTTACCTTTTCCAGTAGCAGTTCCACTTTCACTGTTACTGTGATGAATGCGATACCGATGACCTCTTCCTTTTGTTCTATCTAAATCATTAAATTCGATCCTTCGTTCTGTGCTCCATTCTGACCATCTAAAATTATTTGTTAAATTCATTTATGCAAATGTATTTGTCCTTTTCATAAATAATTCATTTAATAATTCATTTAATCTTATCGCATTATAGTAATAATCAGTTGCTGAATAAGCAATAATTTTTAATAGATGAAATAAATAAGTCATTACAATCATTAATTCAGGAATTTTAGATTTGAATTGATCAGTTAATTTAAAATCATAAATGCTTACTTTATCAAATACTTATTTTAATTGTCCTCTCATTCAATCACTCATTTTCATCTATTAGTACTTATAAATTTTAATTTTGTGTAGAAAAGAGTTCAATTGATTTCTTTTACATTAAAAAAAAAAAAACTTTTTAAAATTAAATTTCTTTTTTTCAATTAGGAACAATGTAAATTTTGAATTAGAATGGTAGTATTAATTGAAATCAACATTAGAGGTAAAATATTTTGGGAAATACAATTTTCTAATTAGTGTTTTTTACATGAAAAACAGCACATGAAATTGCATATTTCGTTGATTTGATTAAAAAAAAAAAAATGCCCCAAAAAAAGGGTAAAATTATTTAACTTACTTTTTGTAAGACCATTCAGCCCAGGTGGCAATAATCCATTGTCCATCATCTGTTAAATTTCGTAATGCAAAATTAATTTGATTTAAATTATTATCATTGATAATTGGCTCTTGCTTATTTAAATCTGCGTGCTTTTGATCAGAGGTAACTGCCTTCACCTTATGATTGTCATTTTGGCACTGTATAGTACAAATAGTTACCCGATATCCAACCCTAAATATAATTAATGTTTTTTAAATTTTAAAAGGTTAAAATTCATTTCTTAATTTTAATATTAGTAATTTGTTGTTAAGAAAGACATAGATGATAAATTATTTTTGAAAATATGATTTTCGAATTGTCCCACCAAGTATGTTAATTGAAATTAAAAGTTTAAGACAAAGAGAGAGAAATTTGCTGAGACGGATAATATTAATTCGTTAGAATTATTTTCTGAAAATGGAACACTTTTGAGGATTAGAAAATTTTCTATGTATGTTAATTAAATTTAAACGCCTACTCATTGCGCTCAACACCCTTTATCACAAACTGTGACGGTTCCTTTTTACGTAGTAAATAAAGTCTGAGGCGATAACCGGAAAAATCGGTAAACTGTTCCGGTATTTTATTTATATCCTTTAATAATGCATATCCATCTTTGTCTTTCTTTTCTAATTCTTCAGCTGTTGTACCATTTGAGCCGTCCGGTAAATCATATAAAAAGCAATCATTTCCCATATGTGCTCTTATTTGAACATCTTCATTAATTGTTAAATTACAACATGTATGCATCACACTGTAATATTATTTTTAATTAAATTAATTTTAATTCTGAGTAAAACTTATAATAATAATAAACAATAATAATAATTGTCATAAAATAAGTTAAAGTAATTCCTTAACACTGATCTAAAATCTGAAATAACTAAATTTAGTCAAAGAATAACTATGAAATTTAGTTAAAAATCATTTAAAAATCATTCAAATCATCTGAAATGTGTCTAAGTTTAAGCATAAATTAAAACTAATGGATAATATTGTTTTTTAATATTTACTCACTTCCTCATTTGCATCCTTATATTTACTAATTTAATCTAATTTAAAAGCATTTTAATAAATAATGGAATGATAGGCTAAAATTAATGTAATGCATAATGATTAACTAATTCATTAATTAATTTTAAATCTCAAACTAAAATTTTGCAGTATAGGTAAGCTTACATAATAATATGCTAATAATTAATGTAATTAGAAAGTGAACTTACGGCGCAACGGGCGTTAATTGCTGTATGTGAGCAACAAAATTAGTTTTTCCGCCACAATATGTTTGCAAATGATTGTAATGACATTTCTACAAATATACAACAATATTCAATAAGTTAAAGAGAAGTGAAATAATGAAAGGTAAATAGGTAGATGGGAAAGGTAAAAAGAAAACTTTTTTATTTCTCAAAAATTTTGTGAAAAAATTGTCTAAATTTAAATTATTAAAAAAAAAAAGAAACAATTAGAATTGATCTAAGTTTTTTTTTTCTTTTTTTCATTAACAATTAACAATTTAAAATGTATTATATTTGAATATAATTTTATAAACAAGAATGAATAAATTAGAAAAAGTAAAAAGAACTGAAATTTGAAATTATAGAATAATTTATTATAAATAAAATGAAATGTACCAAAAATTGAAGACCGCAAAGAATTGGTTTCTGACAATGCATCCGAATAGTATCATTACCAAAACTTTGTACCACAACAATTTGATCATCATCACAACGATAAGTTATCGATGCTGAATGTTTTATCAGCAGTGATAAGAGTACAAAAAGCATAACTGATCTCATATCTGCTTATTTTATTGTCATCCAATTTATGAGAATTATTTCACCTGCAGTGATTAGACATTGATAAAATTATTTTTACATTTTGTAAATTTTGCAAGTGTGATAAGCGTAATATTCAAAATAATAAAATAATAATAATAGTGATAAAGTGATAAATCATTATTTTAATATTTTTTCAACTGATTTCTTAAAATTAATTTGATTCAAAACAAAAAAAAAAATTGACCATAAAAGAACCAAAAATATTTAGCAAATTTACAATTAGGTATGAAATTCTAGGAAAATGATTTTTCAAAATGTTAAATCTGTTTTTATTTTAACTTTTATTTTACTATTTACGAAGAAACATATCTAGTGATAGTATGATATAAGGTAATTCAAAACTCGAATTTATCAGTTATAGAAAACAAATGAGTATTTTGACAAGAAATTTATCAGTTACGGAAAACGAATGAGTATTTTGATAAGAAATTTATCAGTTATAGAAAACGAATGAGTATTTTGATAAGAAATTTATCAGTTATAGAAAACGAATGAGTATTTTGATAAGAAATTTATCAGTTACAGAAAACGAATGAGTATTTTGATAAGAAATTTATCAGTTGCAAAAAACAAATGAATATTTTGATAAGAAATTTATCAGTTACGGAAAACAAATGAGCATTCTGTTAACTATTCATTTCACAAAACTATTAAAATAATTTGATCTTCCATGTAATCCGGTAACGGTTGTTGATAAAAACTGAGGCGATTTCCGTGAATTTAAAAGACAAATAATTGTTGGATGGATGTTGCACTCAATTCATCGATCATTTATTTTTGTACTAGGATTTATGGCACATAAATTTTAATGTCCTGCCCTTTCAAATTTGTGCTCCAAATCTTATTCTCGACCTCATCATCTTTTGTTTGAAAAGATGTATTTTAATGTTAAAAAAAAAAAGAAATGAAAATTCATCCCAAGGAAGATATATACATATATACGGATAATCAAACCGGATGGTTCCAGTTTCGACCTGATTCTCACAGGAAATGAATGCAAATAGTGAATGAATTTGAGAATTTAGTTAAGAAATGCAATAGTTAATAAATCTAAATTTTTCATATAAAAAGTAAGCAGTAGACCTTTTTTTTTAAATTTTTGATTTAAATTTCTTTTTGGATTTCAAAAAAAAAGTGAATAATATAATCTGAATTGATTACATCGAACGGAATGTACTGAATGTTATCGAAATTATGATTAAAATATATCTAAATTTCTCTCCATTATCTCTCTTTTCATCCCAATCCATAATTAATAACTTGTAAACATTATTATCGTACACTTGCTGTCCTGTAGCTGTCTTCCGGTTGCGTATATCCTGCAGCTGTCTTCCGGTTGCATATATCCTGTAGCTGTCTTCCGGTTGTTGTTCTATATATCTTACAGCTGTACATATACAACAGACATCCGATTTCTGTGTAATCATAAAATGGGACTTCAATCATTAAAGTGTTTTTGTTCTGTTCATTTGTAATTTAAAATTAAAAAACATTGGAAAAAAAAATTGAGAAATGATTTTGAAATTTTGAAAAATACTTTACAGTACATTAAAAAAATATTTTACAGGACAAAATATTTAAATAAAACTACAAAAAGATAACTGTACAATCTACAATCTACACTTCTCTAAAACAATCACATATCAAGTGATAAATATCCGAGTACTTATCACAGCTTATCACAGTTGGTGATATCGAATCTGTTTAATATTAATTCAAAATTGTTCATTTTTTTGTCCTCTCATTGTCCATCATCACATTTCAGTTTTAATTATTAAATGTAATCTAACATATATTTAAATAGATTTTATATTTAATATTAATATTAGCAAAAAGACATCATTTGAAACATTTATATTAGAATTAATTAATTAATTAAAAATTAGAATTTATCTATTAGAAAATCATTTCCATATGTTTTGTTTTGTATTTTATGTAATGAAAAGTAGAATGAAAATAAAAAAAAAAAAACCCTTTCGAAGCAGAAAAAGAAGATCGATTTTAATGTTGAAAAATTTTGTAATAATAATAATAAGCAGTAATAATGATAAGAAATAATAATAAATAATAAAAAAAAATAACTAACAATGGTACTAATCAATAATAATTATTATAGAAGTAATAATATTAATAATCAGCAATGATAATATTAACTTTTTCTGATTGCAACAACAACGATTGTACTAATTTCAAACGATAATTAAAATAATTCAATGATAAGAATTGTTTCAAAAAGTAAAAAAATAGTAAAAAAAAATATCTCCAAATGACAAAAAAGTTGAAATAATTTTTTTCTTTCTTTCAATCTAAAGAATAATAAATAATAAATAAATTCTACTAATAATAAATAAATTATACTAAATGTGTGAAGGCCTTATTCCTTCCTTCCTTCAATTCATCTTTCCCTCTCTCTTTCCCTCTCTCTCTCCCTCTCTCTCTCTCTCAACCATTCCTAAATAGCTTTTGGAATAGGTCAATGTAAACATATCATCATTACTTTTTCATATTTCATCCTCATCTATTCCATCATGTCCTCATTATCCTACCAAATTAGCATTTCTGTCCTCAATTTTAACCAAATATTTATTTCTTCTCTTCACTTACATCTTTAAAATTTACAAAGGTATTTTCCATTTTTGAAAAAAAAAAAAAAAAAGATTTTACAGTAAAATTAATGATGAGAAAAAATGACAGCAATGTCATGTATCAGACAAAATTTTTTTTTTTTTGATAAATTTTACAAAAGAGTTTTAGAATAAACAAACAGGTAAAGTGGCAAAAAAAAAAAGTGTTGACATTACGCTATGAAATATTAGAATAAAAATTCCCACTTGTGGTAGAAGAAAAAAGGAAAGATTTGTCATAATAGAAATTATTAAAAAGAGAGCGACAAGTATGATATAAATTTTTTTTTTTTTTGTAGTAAAATTTGTTGAAATTTCCTAAATGCATTTTTGTACATTTTCTTCGGTTCTATCCATTTTCATTCATAATAGATTCAAAATTCAAAATTTTTATCAAAAAGTGTTGGAAATTTGAAGGATTAAAATGTTATATTTTATAAATCATTCACTAAGGGCAAAAAATTTTTAATATCTTTTTCCCTCTCTCTCTCTCTTTCTTTTCTTTTTTTATCTTTCTTAGCCTGAATTAATTATTTGAAGTTAAATACTTTTTTTTTTTTTTGATATTCAATAATTTTTAATTTATGCCGAAAAATAATATTCCAATAGTAATTAAACAAATCAAATTTATTGCATACTTTTTTTTTTTTTTTTTTTCATTTCAAATATAATTATTTTCAAATTTGTTTACTATCTATTATGTAATGAAAACCGAATAATGGAATTCACATGAAAGAGACAATTTTTAAAGAATTTTAAGAATTTATTTTTACAGAAAAATTGTCGGAGGATTACATAAAAATAAGAAAGTGATAAATTTGTTTGATCCATTTTTGTTGGGAACAATGTTGAAACTATCGAAAATGATAGTTACGTCATTGTTGGAAGAAATAAAATAATTTAAAACCTATTATAAAGAATTAATTAGCAGTTTAAAATGATAATTCTATTAAAATTCATAAGTATTTTGGTATTATTTGTGAGTAAATTTAATTATTTGTTCAAATTTGAACCACAAAAAAATCACCAATTTCAATTTTAGTAATGTCATCGTTGATCGATGATCTATTAATCAATCATTGTTAAATGTAATTACCATCGAATTAAAATGTTAATTTTATTGAATACTGACAAAATAAATAAATGCATGAATGAATTTTAAATCTCTCTTAAAGAATTTGAAAGTACTGAAATATACAGTGGAATGAAAAATTGGGTAGTTAAATGAGTGTGAATTGAAGGATTTAAGCAGGGAGTGAAAACTAAAGAGAGAGAGAGAGAGAGAGAGAGAGGGAGAGAGAGGGGACAATGAAATATTTCAGAAAGTAACGAGAAAAATGTTTGCAAAACTTTATATCTGTAATAAGAAATTATTGCTCTAATTTTTTAAAGAGCTCAAATGGATGAAACTTTTTTAAATGGAAGTTAGAAAAAAAAAAAAAGGAGGAAGATGTGAACCTATTTTAAATATATATTCCTTCTTCAGATGACCTTTCATAATTTATCTCATTTCAATTAATTTACCATGGATATAAAAAGGTATCACTCAAAGGATAAACGAGAAAAGGAAAGGTCACAAAGTGCAGTTTACTTTCAATTACAATTTTCATATATTGAATTTCATATATTAAATTACTAAAAAAAAAATAACTACATTTCAAAATCACTTAATGTCCATAAAAAGGACAATTGTAAAAAAAAAAATGACACTCTATGACCTACTGTGACCTGATTGTTTAAATTACTATTATTTTTTTTCCTAACAATAGGACAAACATTAGTTAGTGGGGTTTAATTTGTAGAAATTAGGAAAGAGTGAGAAATTTTAGGGACAAAATTGGATCGGGAATAGTCTCATTTTTCCTTTTTTTTTTTTTTTCTCGTACGAAACATTAATTTGTTAATGGCACAATTAAATAGATACAGCATGTGTTTGAAATTTTGTTAGAAAAAATTTGAAACTATTGAAGTCAAAAAGAGCAAACTGATTGATGATAATGAATGAATGGATGGTATCACAAAGATAAAGAAAAATTCATTGAGAACAAAGAATTCATCGAAATGTATGATTGAAAAGACGAATGGATTGAACAAATTTGAATGAAGTTAAATAAATATTCTTAAAAAAAAAAATATAAAAATTATATTTAAGCATAATTTTTTTTTTATGCTTAAGGAAAATATAAAAATTATTTTGTCAAGTTTCAATCTTTGAAATTTTACAAAAAAATAATTAACATAAGAATTTCAAATAGACTAATGTTTATTTTCAAAAAAAAAAATATTATTTGAAATAAATAAACATTTTTTTTTTTAACAAAAAAGTTATTCCTTCTTTCCAAACAAAAATAAAATTAGTTCTCCAATAAATCATAAATATAAGTCGTTTGAAGCAAATTTCAAATTTTTTCGCCAAATGATTTATTTGTAATGTTGTGGCCAATTCATATTTAAAAAAAAAAAAAAGAAAATCAATGATTTATATTTTTATCAATATAAAAATAAGATAAAATATGTAAAAATATGGAATGAGATTTACAAAAAAAAAAATTAATTATTCAATAAGAGGAAAAATCACCAATCTATTTGATTAGGAAAAAAAAAGCATTGTTGCATGAATGTCAACTGGGAATTGGTCGATGTTAGTTTTTTGTATTTCAGAAATTGTTGTCAACTGATCTCATTTATTTACATTTGTAAATAAAAGAATCAGTGTATTTGTTTTGATACGGAATATTCATTAATGAAAGAAAGATTAGACAATTTGATATCATTCATGGCATAATTAATGAAGAAACAATGCAAATTTCATTTACTAAATTATTTGTTGCTTTGAAATTGTAAACAAATTTTACTCATCAAATTTAGCATTTTTATTTCAATGTGATAACATTTAATGTATCACTAATTTAATAATATCTGTTAACAGAAAGAGCAAAAATTTATTGTTAGAAAGAGCAAAAAAAAAATTTTTTTAATGGAATTCCGGTGATTATGGATCAAACGAAATTAAAATCCGGAAAATATTTGATAAAAGATATGCCACCAACTATCATTGCTCGAATTATGCTTTTTATTCTTTTCTTTCAACTTATGCTTTGCGGTGCTACTCTTATCACTACGCTTTATGGCTCAATGAGATTTATGGAATATCAGTAAGTCTATTTGTTATCATATTATCACTGTTATCATCATTTGTTATCATTTTTGACTCTCATCTCATTATTTATTATTGCTATCATTAACATCTATTCAATTTGTAGTAAAATATTGCCAAATTTTATGCAGCGTTATGGCTTGTTTTTGGGTGTTATCATTATCAGTCTATATGCGACACTTATCACTATCATTGCTTCATTTCAAATTCATAAGTTTTGGTGATTACTTTTTAATCTATCATTATTAAATCTCAATTTTATGAAATTTCTACATTTTCAAGCATTCATTTAATTTTACACAACTAATCAGTCATAAAATACATAAATGCATTATTATTATATATATTCTTTTTCTCAATTCTACATTTCAGTTTTGTGGAAGCAACAAGATTCTCGGAGAATTTATTAGATCTGAAACTTTTAAAATTTGAATTACTTACATCCAGTATCACAACCATAGGATGTGCCTGCATCCTATTCATTTCAAGTTTTAGTTGGCAAAAACCTATCCGAGACAATATATTGTATGCTGTAAAGAATGCTATCAATGACAATGACTATGCCCAGGTAAATTTATTAACTAATCAAAAGTTAATTTTATTCTATGAAATTTATGCTTGATTTTAAATATATGTATTGATATTTGTAGGATATTAATACCATTCAACAAAGATTTGAATGCTGCGGAATTTCAATCCAAGGTGTCGAAGCTCATCTCATTTGGCTTCATTATCTTTCACCTGATAGTGCTTTTCAACAAGATTTATATAAGTTAATTTAATTTATTACTTTTTAGCTCAGATTTATAATGGTAGACAGAATGTCATTTATATTAGCAATAATCAGTATTAATTAGTAGATACAAACAGTTTACATTTGCATAAAATTAAAATGTCACAAGTAACTTAAAAAAAATTAAACAAATGAAATAAAACAGTTTTGTGTTCAGATTTTTGAATTTACTTATAAAATCAATAATTAATTAATTTCCAAGGAATGTCAACAATTTTAATGAAATAATTTACTTAATTACTTAATTAATTAATCTTTCATTTATTGAATTATTAATACAATGAAAATAAACTGGTTGATCTATTGCTAATATTTTGTTTATTTTAGTGAAAAAGGTTCACTACCATGGTCTTGTTGTCGATCTGAATATAAATCTATGCACTGTGAACAATTTGCATATGAACGATTTGTCGTACCTTTAAATGAGACAAACTTTCTTCAGATACCAAGTTATGCAACTCGATTTAAGAAAAGTTGGGTAAGTGTACTTCGATCACAATATATTTTACTTTATGAACTTTATACAATCTTTTTCTAATTTTCAATTTCATTAATTTTTTTCAAATTTTAAGAAATTTCAATAAATCATATTGTTCAGCAGCTAATGATAGTAACAAGATAGAATAAATAACACTTTAAACTTCCATTTTAAATCTAAATTCTATGTAATATTCTCGAATACTACATAGATACCTTAGACAAGTCTTTTTTTTTTTCCAAAAAAAAAAGAGACATATGATAGTATAAAGTTTCAAAATTGAAGCAATCATTATTTCATTGCAATATATTTGTGTAATCATCGCATTTTACATAATAATAATTTTAAAAATATCATTTCATTTGACAATATAATGTGTACTACTCTATCTTTATTTTAAATTTCATTAATAATTTTAAGTTAAATAATTTCAAAAACACATTCTTCTTTTCATTATATAAATTTGAGAAAAGATTTAAAAAATGATAAAAAAAAAATTCCAAATTACCAAAATTTTAAAGATTTTAAAATTAATGTTTGTTATTTTTTTAATATATTTACTTAGAAATGTACTTCACTAGCTGATTGCAAACAAAAACGTGAAATAGCATTGAATTCAGTATATAAACGTGACTGTTCCCAGGCTTTTTATCAAGCTTTCAAAATAGGATTCTTTTACCTAAATGGTACTATGCTATTTATTTTAGGTAAGTTTGCAGATAAAATTTATATTTCTCGGATTTTTTCAATTTAGAAAAAAACACAATTTTCAGTAAAAATTAATTTCTTTTTTCTCGTAAATGGCTAATGCTGAGAAATAATACAACTGAAGATATAAGGAAAGTAATTTTAATTTATTTTACTAGAAATCATCCGAGGTATTCGTATTTTCCGGATATCAACTATACTTTTTGTAGGATTATGTATGATTTCCGGACTAGCTGTAACAAATCATCTTCAAACAATTCTGAGCAAAAAAAATTTTAAAGCTATTACTCCATTACTATTATAATTGTTTTTCTTCTCTATTATGCATAATACAAATGCCAAAAAAAAAAAAAAAAAAAGAAATACAAACAAGAAATTTGAAGAATTGTTTATTTTATTGAAGAACAAAATAACAAATTAAGTATATTTCAAAAAACATAAACAGGTAAACATATATATATGTACAAAGTTGAAATATTCACTGCAGCTCAGCCATAAAATAAAAAAAGAAAGAATAACAAACATTTTGTTTTCTGTTTTTCTTATCATAAATAAACGAAGAATTGAATATTAATGAAGTTTCTCCTATGAAAAAAAAAGGAAAAACACTTTTTATTTGCTTAAAAAATTTCAAAAAAAAAAAGACGAAGAAGCAATGAATATTTTTCAGAAGAAAAATATGAAATTAAACAAAAAAATTAGTTTTAAAAAAAAAAGTAGACAATTGCAAGTTAGTTTAGATAATTTGAATGCATTTTAAGCGTTGCATTTTGTTATATTTCGTTTGCATGCAAACATTTTATGTAATATTTTATACAGTTTAATGCAAAACAATTTTTTATAGAAACAACCGATTGCTAATTTAATTAATTTACAATTTCAACAACTTAAAAATATCATTTCACCGTATTCATTCATCGCTTTTTTTTTTTTTTTTGAAGAGGGGAAGGAACTGTTAAGGCACTAAATAAATTTTAAACTAATTTTCAGAGAGTAATAAAAAAAAAAAATCTATGATCATTTTTACATAATTAATAGCTATTTTACGGGGAAACACTCATTTATTCAGACAAATTTTGACAAAAATTACTGAAAATCAAGTGATAACGAAGAAGTCAGTAATGTGAAATATTCTGTAATTTCAAAAAAAAAAAAAAAAGCAGAATGATTTGTAAATTAATTGGGAAAGGGTGAAAAGTGCGCAAAAATCAAAATTAGAGTAGGATGTAAAAAAGTACTTTTGAGTGATAAAAAACATTTTCATTTTTCAAAAAAAAAAAAAAAGAGAATCTCTCTCTCTCTCTCTCCCAGTTCTAAAATATGATTCATCTAATGTTTTTCATTTAAAAGAAACCCGTTGGTAATATGCCATTTTATCAATTCTCAATTCTTTTCTTATTTCTTTTCAAACGTAATACACGTATCATAAACGTTAGCTTGGAATATCTTAGCTTCTTTCAGATCATTCTTAGCGTCACACTGAGGTCAATTACTTTTGATGGCAGGAAGATTTTAGCGAGTAACTAAAAAGTAATGTTTTTATAGTATTAATATATGACGCAAAAATATTTTCCTTTTTTTTTTTTTTTTGATTAAAAAGAACTTAAACATAAATTTAACTGCAAATTAAAAGAAATTAACTCGAAGAATGTTATGGCACTTTCAGCAAAACCTGTAAAGGATATGCCAGGATAGATAAATAGATAAATCGGGAAATCAAGTTTACAAAAATAAAGTTAAAAACAATGCCTAATTTTATAGTTCACACCAGAAAAAAAAAAAACCATTTGAGCAGCAGAAAGGAAGAAAAAAAAAAGAATTTTAGAAATTGACAGAAATTAAAACATTCAACAAAAAAAAGAAAAGGAAAAATTATAAAAAATACTGTACAAGAGAGAGGAAAAAAAAAAGAGGTCTTCCTCTAATAAGTTTTTCCTCTATTTTCATCACTAATATCACAAAATATAACAATTAATTTCAGCATTAATTAAGCAATTCAAATTATTTTTTCATCCTAAACATTGAAAAGTGTTAAATTTCAAAGAAGGAAAACAATCTTTTAAAACCTAAGAGCATTTGATGAAAATTTGAATAGCTTACTGTTGCCATCGTTATTTCTCTTGCTAGAGGTAGCATTAGATGATGATGAAAGAAGTGGTGATGTAGAGTGTTGTGGTCCAACTGTACTAATCGGAATTTTACTTTTAACATTAACTTTATTGTGTTGACCAGTTGAAAGGGTAGAAGCTGGAACACTTATGTGTTCTGTATTTTTATTAGCTACCGATGGCGAATTCCAGTAGAACTGATTATTCTGAAAGCATACTTTAACATCATTAAGCAATGTAGCTTGTCATCAATGAATTTAAAATTTAATGACCATTTCGCTTTCCTCAGCAAACGAGAAATTTCTCGTTGGATGTAAAATTTTTCTCGAATAGAAAGAAAAAAATTGAGTTTTAATTGATATAAATGTTAATTTTAACCAAAAGCAGCAGATGACTGCCTTTATAAAAAGTTAAATATAAACTAAAATTTTATGAAAAATGAAAAAAAGCTTACGAATATTAACTTTTTCGACTTCCACAATTAATGTAATACTACAGCAAATTGTGAAAATTTGATTTATTTAAAAAGTTGAAAGTCAAGAAGTACAAAAAAATCTCTCTGAATATAAATCTTAGAAAAATGAAAAAAAATCTAACCTGCAAAGAATCTTTGGCAATTACTGAAGATGAGTTATGATGGGTATAATTATCTTCAGCATCTGTTCTCATAGATCCATTTACCTGTAAAAAACTTCAGTTTATCTATAAAAAGCTAATTATTGCAGCTTAATTCTCTAAACTAAATTTTCATTTTCAAAAATTCTTCATTTAAAAACTTACTGTCAAATGAAACTAAAAAAAAAAAAAAAATCATGTCATCACTGCTCAAACTCTTTCGTCAACAAATTTTTAAATCAGAATTTGTGAAATGAAAAATTAGTCATTGGAAAATAGAAAAGCTGCCATTTATGCATATATTACAAATGTTTCGGATCCAAAATTCAGAAACGTTCTGAATCATTGTCATTGAATTATCGGAACAATTTAACTCATTCATTATTTTATTCTTAAAACATATTCAGTTTTATTTAAGCGATCAATAACTGTAGTGTGAAATTTTTACTAATAAATTATTATTTCATTTTAATCTTACAAACCGCCTCACTCACATCCGCATACCTGTATTTCAACAAATGCACCACCAACCCGTCTTTTCACTAGATCATCGGTTTGTTTGTCGCTTGGATCACGATTTTTTTGTTTACAAAGTGAAGCCGGCACCGGTAAATAAGTTTTTTCATCGAATAAACGAATCTGAAAAAATTTTAAACTCAAATTTAATTAAAATATAATAGCGGATGAAAGAATTTAGAATAGTTTAGGTGAAGATCAAAAAATTGAGCACAAAACATAAAAATTAAGTAATGTCTCCAAGTGAAATTTCATGAAAAATTTTCATACTATCCAAAAGAGAAACTCAACTTTTTTCATTTGTTTGAATAACTTACAATTCCTACCTCACATGGTGGTCCTATCAATGATAAGAGTACTGGCAGAAGCACAAGACCATTAATGAGACCAATTAATATGAGCGCTGATAGTACGATGAAGAAATATTTTACAATAAAATCAAATTCCGAAAAGGCTAACATTAATATACCTGAAACAGATTTAATTTAAGTAATCAAAGAATATATGTTAATATTCTATTTGAAAGGCTATATCATGTAAATTATGCAAAAAAATTTGAAAAGTAATGAAGGATAAACTTTATATATAAAATAATTTATGAAATAAGAAAAAGAAACCTAGAAGAGTGGACAATCCGCCATGTATCACAGGAATAAACATATGATTCAAGCAAGCTGCCATTCGTTCATCCTTACTACCCAACGATGTAAGATACACTAGCACAACATGCACCGTAAATTCCACACCTATAAAAATAATTATGAAAAAAACAAATACATATTTTAAATAATCTATAAGAATAAATGAAAAAAAAAGTTATAGTCAATGTAATTTTTAGTTTACATTCAAAGAATGGAGAAACTTAAAAGATTAGTAAGATGATAACAAGATGATACATTTAAAAGATAATAAAGAACGTGAAAGGAGAGAAAAATAAAAAGTTAAAAAAAAATTTCCGCAATTAATTATTATCAGTTAGAATTTAGTCATAAAACAAAAATATTACTCCTTTGACAATTTTCAACTTTTTTGTAATAAAAACATATTCAAATGAAACATACCGATTCCAACAGCAGCAACTAGTGTTACTGCGCTAACCGGATTAAGCTTAACGCCAGTAGCGCCCATAAAACCGGCTAATTCGATGGTCATCGAAATAACCACAATGATGACCATCATAGCTGCCCATGGATTAAAAATTACGACTGATATAACAATAAATACTGCACTGCTTATTACACAAATAGCAATAAACAGATTCCATCTAAAAAAAAAAATGCTAAATCTAAAATTCAAGAAATTTTTATTAAACACATTCATATCATTCTTAATAAATCTTGCAGCTTTTCTCTCATCCAACATTTTTTCATCGAAAACAAACAATTCTAGAAAACATTTTTTTGTTTTTCCCTTTTTTTTTCAAACTGAAAATTAATGAAATAATCAAAAAAAATTCTCATAGTATGACAACCATTCTGTTCTTCCCGTCCCTGTTTGCTCCTAGAAAATTACAAAGTTGGTTGACTTTAACCGAACACAATTTTTCATTCTAATTTTTAGTACAATTTTTCTATTATGACCTCAAACTGAGATATTGCTCCCAGAATATGAATGCGACACCGCTTGGAAAATTCGGTAAGCCTAGTTCTGTGTATCGATCACAAACACTACGAATTTCCTGCAAAAATAATCAATCTTTTATAATAATGTGCTATTCTGAGAACGAAAAGTGCTGAATGACTTTTTGATTTTGATATAAAGTTATATAAGCATTACTTTGAATGTTAAGTTCGTTAGTGTTGAACATTAATTTATGTGACAATTTAACGGTAGAATGGAAATATCACTACGCAATAAATGAAATACTAAAAAAGAGAAAAACTAGCAATGACAATGTAAAATTTGCATAAATAAATAAAACAAGAGAAATATTTATAAAAAATGAATACATAAATGCCACATTCAAAATCCGATTTCTATATGATCAATTAAGGGTAGTAAAAGTAACCGAGGTAAAATGAAAAAGAAAATTCAAAAATCGTACTCGTATCATTTTCACAATCACAGGAGTATCAATCAGATCGGTAAGATAGAATGGTATTTGACTGTAAGCTGGTGGTAATGCAGGAGGGACGACTTTTTCATGCTGAAATTACTACTCTTATAGCATTAAATATTAGATCTCAAATCTGATTTTTATATATTCGATTAAATGTATTAAAATTAACCGTGGTGAATGACCATGAAGGAGGAACTGGATAAAATGAAGCTTGAGAAACATAATACATCATATTATCAATGTTGTACCATGCGGTCAAATAATTGTAAAAACCATCCGCATTGATTACACCAGCATCATTTACCAATTTTATGGTGCTAATCTAGAAATAAATTATTTTAATCGTTATTAATAAATAATTTTATGAAATGCATTAGTTCGTTTGGTGTAGGGTCAAATATTTCTGTCGTAAAAAACGATACATTTAAATTACATTCAAATTTTAATACTTTTGATAAATGTCATTGTCCAAATAATTCCGCATTTGTAACTAATCTATGTCTAGATCATTTAAGCCATTATGCTAATTCTTTTTTCTTACACAATGAAAAACCCTTTATTAGCAAACCCTTTGTTAGCAATCTTTGTTTCACATCACTTAAATGTCCTCTGTCAGATATCTGGTCAGTTCAGTTCTGTATGTAAACCAACCATCTTCCATTATAGTTATTCATTCCAAATTTTTGGGGTAGTTTTCGATATTATTTTAGTGTTTTATAACTTTATCTTTCGTTACGTTTTAATTACCCAAGTTTGAGGCAAAATAAAATATCTGGCAGTCAATACATTCCACGACATTTTCTAATTATAAACTAATTTTATGAGAAATACTTTCGAGATTTGACATAGAAACGATTGTTGCATCATATGCTCATTTAAAGAATCAGTTTAAATTGAAAGCAAAATAGCATTTGGGTATATTATACAAATACTTACTCTTCCGGTGCAATTATATTTATTGCCGTACGAGCAAACAAGACGTCTTGCAATCTTCGCTTCATCAGTAATTTTAGTATCAGCTTTCATCTCACCGGTAACTGCATTTATATCACCTTTTTTGATAGCATTATCTAAATGCTTCTGAATTGAACTCAGCCAAGTTCGCATCATCGATAACCAATACTCTTCACTTGGACGACCGTTCACTTTGATCACATATCTTGATTTTGCTAGAGTAATAAAATAGTTAATACATTCAAACTACTATATAATCGATTGATGAAAATGATATGTAATGTAAGAAAGTTTATGGAAAATGAGAAATGAAAAGGAATGAGACTGCGACTTTTTTCTTTTTTGGAGTTCGTAAAAATTAATTAATAATTTTAAAGATTTTTTACCAATGTCCAAACGATACTGTTCGATTTGTTCTTGTTGTTCCGCAAAATTAATTCTACTTCCTTTCAAAACAGCAAACATCGGATAGAAACTGAAGTACTTCTCTCTTGCTCTTAAAAATGCAGCTGGAGCTGTTCCTTCTGGTAGAACATCAGATAATTCCAAACCAAGGCTTGATTGATAAAGACCAAAACAGCTAATTAATAATACTGATATGCATGTCACGATTACCATCAACTAAAGATAAAATTTATCATCAACCTTAATTTTTAATTTCAAAATTTAAAATGACAAGTTTTTTTTTTATGCGAAATTGAATTATATTTAATCTTAATTAATACTAACCTTTGTGAGTGGTAATGTCAAGAAAGGGATGTAATAATATTGAAGAAATCCGCCTAACGTATACCATTTCTTCTCTTTGTCATCATCATTCTTTAGCAACAAAGAAGGTGGTGGACCAGGATAAACGTTGTGACCAGTTACCGATAAACTTCCGACGATTTGTTTTCCCATATTCAATTCTAACGATTCCACTCTAAGCTAAAATGAAATAATTTATTATCTATAAAAAAATTATTCAGCATTTATTTTCAAAAAAATTTGTCGTTTCAATTACGTAAAATTACGTTTCAATTACGTCCGTCATCTAATTGAATTTTATTTCTACTTTTTTTTTTTAGAAAATAACACAAATAACCTTTTTAGCACTCACAGAATTTCCCATGCAACAGCAACCCATATCTCGTCTACTAGCTCGACGTCTTCGTAAATCAAGTGCAATCATTGCTGGATAGATTACCATAATAGCAATCATATTAAATGTCAATAAAATAGCTGTCTGAAATTTGAAAAAAATTTATTTCACATTTTCCTCCTCTTCTTTCTTTAGATTTCAATCATCTTTCAAAATTACCACAAAAACACACGCTATTAACAGATAAATTAAAAAAAAAAATCAATAAACCGTCTGTTGCTGTTTTATACCGCTCAAACTAACAAAAGTATTTTCTATTTAAAAAAGAATCTAAAATGATGTCAAAATGATCTAGAACTACAATATTACCTAATCTAGTTTGTTTTTTTTTTTTTTTGTCGTTATAATTTTCACTCCTTCCTCAGTTTATTGCTACCATAAGTTATACAAATAAAGTATTATTAAGTTATTAGCATCTCGTTGTTTGAGTAAAAGTTTCCAAAAGAATTTTAGACAGAAGATAAAATTGAAGGATGTATGTATGGTAAAGCTATTAAGCTATTAGTAATATACCAAAAATCAACAGATCATTTAAGATTGAAGTTTAAAGAGAGAAAAATGCAATTGAAAGATGACTTACGGGGACGAAACCACCTTAAAAGAAATATTTTACAACAAATAAAATAAAAATTCATCATAAAAATAATAAACAATTAGTTGAGAGATAAAAGACTTACCTGTGAACAAAATGATTTTAGAGCTGGAATAGGTAGAAGTGTACCAGCCATAAATGCAATTATATTATTTATTGAGGTAATAACAACACTCATACCAGTTTCCTTCATTAGTATACCTGAAAGAATGTTAGCTAAATTACATTAAAAATAGGCTATTTGAATTTAATTTTTTAAAAAAAAAATATTTTTACAAATTAAACAAAAAAAAAATTTAATTAAAAAAACAACATAGTTCAATCCTATACACTTTGCAAATAAGCAAGAATTGAAATACAAAATGATATACCAATTTCGTTATTTTTGACAGTATGATGCACATCCTTGTAGTTATGAAGCAACAAGAACATATCATCAACACCCAATCCTAATGTCAAAAATGGTACAATCTAAATTTATATGAAATTAATATAAATAAGAAAACGAATAAATTCACACGCAATATTACTAGAAAACTTATCCATTTCAATAAGATCAAATAATTTTAAGAAAAAATTCAAGAATTATACAAAGTTAAATTTTAGATTCACACTTGCAATCACATTCATTGTAAGATAAAAGTATTAGTGACTCTCTCTCTCTCTCTCTCTCTGCTGCTAGGATGTCTTTTAAATTTTTAAATAGACAAAGAAAATTGTAAATAAAAGTGCTACCTGTGTTGTAGCTGCATTACAATGAATACCCATATAGGAAGATGCTCCAAGACCGGAAATACTTGCATAAGTAACCAGAAAAACACCGAGGATACTGAGACCAACTGATGAATTTACTGCAAACCACCAACCATCCCAGTTTAATTGTGACCAACCCGCATAAACAAACTATAATTTTAATTCAAATTAGTCGAAATGCAAATGACACAGTTATAAAGTAACTATTCTTGCAGATATATAAGTCATAGCTTTAATTAAAATCAGAAATATTTTAATTCAAATAGAAATATCATGCAATTTACACTATTTCTAAAGATTTCATTGATTCATTCATACTGAATGCAATTTCTTAACAATGAATTATTTTACTGATCATTCCTGGCTTTTTTTTTTTGGTTTTGGATTAATAAAACAAACATTATATGTACTTTAAAGTACTCATCAAAGATTAATTAATGAAAATTTTAAGTGAACTGATATCTTTCACAATATTGTCTCATTAAAAAATTAAAATTAAAGAAATAGAATAGCAGAGTATATTATAAAGAATATTTCCATCACATTATAAAGAATATTTCCATCACTTTTAAAATGTATACTGTAAAATGATTCCCACTAGAATTGACCTTTTAATTCTTTTAATTCTGTTCTTAGAAAAATTATTTTCAAATTGTAGCAGAATTATTTGCATAAACATATAGCGAAATTTAGCTTTTTCACCGTAAAGTTATAGAAGAAAAAAAAAAAAAGACAAACCATTAAAAAATATCCAACGAAGATAACCAAAAATTTGAATTGACTAAATTCTTTTAGCATATCTTCTAGTGATGTTGCCGAAAGAGGATGTATCTGACGATTTATCTAAAAAAATTCTTTTTTTTTTTTCTTTTTGTGCTCATTTATGTATTTTTAATTATATGTATAACTAATTAAGCCATTTTCAGTGATAATAAATATATCACAAATATTATGAAAAAAAGAAAACAGTTAATACTATTAAAATAAACAACAACAACAACAAAAGCATTGCATTATGAGAAAATCATTTACAATAGCTATCAAAGCTATTTACGCCATTTTGTTTGAGCATAAGAATAATATGGAATAACTATATGTTATAAGTTTTGTTAAATTTTAAAAAATTTGTCAAATTTTAAAACTTTTGTTAAATTTTAAAAATTTTGTTAAATTTTAAAACTTTTAAAATAAACATTAAGATAACCTCTGTATTCCATCGATGTTCATAGATGTGTTGTGTAAAATTTCGTTGCCAAGCGGAAACAATCTGAGATGCATAATATGGATTCCACGAGTCGACATTCAAATTTGGCTTCAAATCTGACTTTTGCATCTAAACTAGAATTTATTTTTGTGATAATAATAAATATAAAATGAATCCATCTGAACTAAACAAATACAGAATGATAACAAAAATTTACCCAAGTAATTGCTTTCTCGAATGTTTTCTTTTCATTATATTCTCAAGTTTACAACCAAAAAATAATAGTTAGTCTTAATAAGCTTAATTCTCTCTGTTCAATCATTTCATTTGCATTCGATCTATATACTAATTCATGTAATATTGTTAAATAAAGCTAAATTTAAAATATAATTAAGAAAATGAAGTAATTAACCAATATTGTATGTATAATTTTAGTAAAGTTATTTGCATAAACATATAAAATGAGATGATCTAAAAGTTTAAAAGTAATTAAAAGTGTAAAAAAATTAATCAAACCTTATAACGTGAAAAGACATCATTGTCAGATGCAACAAGAAAAATACTTTGGAATGCTTCAGCACTTATTAATTTATGATTTTGTCGTTTGATACCACCAATTATCAAATCTTCCGGCCATACCATTGTATTTCGAGCAAATCCTCGACAACCACCTGTCATTATTTTTCCGTAATCCGGATATACGGGCATTTCATCCTGAAATAAGGACAGTAAAATAAACAATGAATAGTAATCCATCAGTTATAAATGAAGCAAAAAAAAAAAGTAGAGACAGACTTAATATTGTTGACAAAACTGAAAATGGAATGTGTAAGTGTTTTTATTTAACTAAAGTTGGTGTAATCAAAAATTTTATCACATCTATATTGGGTTATTTAATTAGTGAAATCAATATTGTAAACTAAAAGATTATCAGAAAAAAAATATGAAATTCTACTAACCAATGTCAAAAATTCGCTCCATCGATGTTCATTCTTATTTAACCATTTTAAAAAACTTTTACCATAACGTAAGCATTGTTCTTCTTCAGCAAGTTCTTCCTTAGCTATAAAATATTAAAAAAAAATTCAACACACCAAACTATCTTAAATTATCATTAAAAAAAAAAGTTCCTTAATTTTTAAACTGTTATGTCTAAAATTTATCTACCATCTATACAAATATCTACTTTGTTATCTTCCTACAATTTTTCAAATAATTCATCCTAAGCAATATCAGTTGATAATGCACATCTTATATTATATTTCACTTAATATTGTGTGAAAAAATTTTTTTTAATGAAAAATTTTGTAATTATAATAATTAGTCGAAAAATTTTAGTAAAGGAAAAGTTATTATTATTATTATTAAGTGTTGATAATATTTGATAAACTAAAATTTTAGTAAAAGAAAAGTTATTATTATTATTATTAAATGTTGATAATATTTGATAAATTAAAATAACCATACTTTTTGTAGCATTTTGATTGATACTATAATCATTATCATCATCATATGCATAATAATCTGAACTTTCATCTTCTGTATGATTTTTACTATTTGGTTTAATCGTTGACGACATTATTTCTCGTTTACGTCTTTTTTTACCTATGAAATCAGTTAAACTTTTACAATGTATTTATTTCTATTAATAAAATTTAACAAAATAATATTTGTTTAAAATAAACTTTTTTTTTTTCTATGATTTATTCTTTGTGCACATTTCTTGATGGATTATAAGAGAGAAAGTCTAAAAAATGTATCTTTAATGAATGAATTTTTTTTTAAAAATTCTAACCAAAAATGTTTTCAAAAATTTGTAATGCATCGTCCTGCAGTTTTGCCTTATCGGTTGATATTGTTTCTGCTTCCAGTTCGATCTGTTTATTTTTTGGCATTGCCATATTCCATGTTTGGAATTTTTTGAAAGCTAAGCAATGATCGAAAGCATTTGGTGCTGTAGCCGGACATTCAGGATCTAACGGATCAATACACCAACGGTCGAGATAAGCAGCTCCTATTCCAGCCTGAAAATAAACCTTATCATTTACAGCTAATGAAATATGATATGCATGAATTAATTTGAACAAATTAAGTTATATTAAAGAGTTAGCTAAAATTTAATAAAATTAATCAACTCAAACATTTCCTCTATTGCTCATCAATATTTACTCTTTCAAAGAAATTGAAGATTGTTCCAAGATCGAAAAGTGTCGAAACTTCTTTCAGCACTGATAAGGGATCCAAATTTTTCCACGTTATATTACCTTTAGGTAAGGAAGTGATGAAAGCATGTATATCAGGCCTATAAACATTTTAAATTTAATAAGTATACTATAACTTTTAGCATTAACTTACTGCTATAAGGAAGCTAATGATGTATAAAGATTTGGTAGAAAGAAACGAATTATAAATTGAAACACAATATGAAATATTTCTTTGGCTATTTAACTGATATTCAGAATTTAATATATAACTAATTAAAACATAATAATTGATAATATTTGTGATTATATAAATTAGCTGAATGGATTGAAATAAAATAGATTATTCCGCACTTTTTTTTGTTTCTGATTCATTAAAACTATAAATGGTACTAATTTTCAAACAAGAAAAAATTTTTAGAAAATGAACAAACCCTAAAGTTAGCGGTGGTGACGGTCCCAATGGCTTCGATCCCTCCCAGAAACAATCAATAGGTGTAATCCAAATGCATGGAATCAAACGATCCAGCAATTTGGACATTACACCTGCAAGTGGTCCATGAGATAATTTCGGTGATGGTGGCTTGAAGCATATATCAGCTAATGTCCAATTTCTAAAAGTAACAATAAATTTTGATAGACAAAAACTTTATACATTTCTTTGCAAAAATTTAAGAATAAAATTTGAAAAAAAAATTGATTTAGCTTTTTAATTAGTTTTTTTAAAATTAAAATTTTAAAATTAATTATTTATTAAATGTAATCACATACTCGCCATACATTTCCACCTGAAAATTTGCAATTTCTTCTATAATTTGAACATGTTTAAGTAACGATTCTTTGGTTAAAGCATTAGTTCCTTTTGTTGCAGGTGTTTGTATCACCACCTAGAAAAGCTTAGTTTTGAAACGGCAACAAGTAACAAAATTATTGGTAAAAAGTTTTTAAAATTTAATATAATTTCCCATTCACATTAGTACATGAATAATTTTTGTATTAGTAACACTTTTAATGATTATCATTTATCATTTATATAAAGTATTCTGATAGCAATACCTGAAATCGACTATCAAAGGCATTATCCAGATTTGCATCTAAGCTTTCTTCATCTTTTCTATTGTTCGTCGGTTTTATGGAAACAAAAGATTCTTGAATACCTATAATTGTTGCTATTGTCAAATAAAACTATGCAAGTCTATTTAAAAAAAAAAAAAAAAATGTTTAGAAATTTCATTTGATAATTTTGAATGATTTGAAAAAAGATGAGCTAAATAAAAATTCAAAACCAAAAAATATAAAAAACAAAACAAACCTGATTTCTCCAAATCAGCTGAACGCTTTTCACGAACTACATTATACTTATAATTTTGTTGTACACGTTGAAGAAAGTGTAATTCTTCGTCCAAACGTCCGCCTTCTAAAATTTTATGTTAATTTTTTATTAAACAATTATGAGTTGATCAATGATCTAACACTTTCAAATAAATAAGAAATAATCAATCACTCATATTGATGGAAATTCTGCACAAAATAATTCAAAATTAACTTGAAAAACTAGAAATTAAATTTCAATAATAGAAAAAAGATTTAAAAAGCATAAAATAAATTAAGAAATTTTGCAAAAGAAAAAATGAAGAAATATTTGATGTAAACTTACGTGACACCCATAATTTGATCAAATCAGTTTCAATGTGTACATATTGAAGTCCTAAGGCGCAAATGAAATAAACACTTAAACCAATAATGACAACAGACCAGGCCCAATTTTGTACAAATGAGCCAAGTGTAAAAAGTAATGATTGAAAAAAGGAACGTAAATAAAGTGCTAAGCGATTACCCGTTGCTGTACCCTGCAAAAAAAAAAAAAAAAAGAAAAGAAAAAATGTGCAATTAATTTTTTATTTTTTAATTTTTTAGACAATTTATTATTTCATTTCAATAGCCGCCAGTCATTTAACATTTTATTTTACCCAGCGAAGTAAACATTAAACTTCTTTAATAGTTATCAAGTTTTTTAGTTAGTTTTTTTTTTTTCATTTAAATTAACAAATTTTAAAAGTACACGTACCTCAACCAAATTCTAATAAAAAAAAATTTTCAAGTTCTTCTAATTTCCAGTTTAGAATAACTGATAATTTTCATTCAAAATATGCAATTGCTTATTTTCAAGGTTATGAATGGGTAGAACAGGAGTGAACAGGAAAAAAAAATAGAGAAAAAATTCATTTGTTTAAATCATTTATTAATTTGAATTCGAAATATCAGGCAATAATGGATATATATTATGTAATATTTTGAATCAAACTTAATAAATAAACTAAATATATCAATATTATAGAATAAAAATAATTAATTATTCCTATATTATATTTGAGGTTAATTTGGATTCATTTATTCGTGTTGTACACTCCAATGATTCTTCTATATTTTTCATATTTGTTTATTTTCATCTTTATAAGGAGTAAAATTTATGAAAAGTATCGTTTTGTTGAATTTTAATTGAAGACGTGTATATTTTAAAATTTGTTAATCTAAAATAAAAAATTGAAATGAAATTATGTAAATAATATTATTACAGGTTAATATAACTATAAAAAATATAACAAAAGTAATTTTTCAAGAAAATTAAATGCTATTAAATCACAATCACATCATTTATTACTTTTTCCACCATCCCTTTGTATGAACAATCAAATTTATGTTTAATTTATCATTAAATTGATTTATTATTAATTAATTATCAAATTTAATAACCTAATAATCATTATCATCAATTTATCAATGAATTTTATGAACTTTCTTAAACAATTGATACATACAAGAAGCATTTGAAATTAATTTTAAAAACCTATTAAAATTAATCTTTCATTTTTTTTAAAACAAAAACCTGGTTGATTTGTTGTAATGCCATATCTGCATCACACCATGTTGGCCGTGATGTAAATTCTTGTTTCCATTTCTCTGAATATAATGCTGAATCAGATGATTTCTTCCCAACTAACCATTTATCCAAAATCTAAAAAAAAGCAAAAAAAAAAATAAATATTACTAAATATTCTGCAAAATACAGCACAACACTGAATTAATTGATTATATATACTTTAGAAATTGCTAATTTAAAATAAAAAATTAAAATGAAATTTAAACATAACAGTTTCGTTTGCAAAATTTTCATTGTTATTTATATCTATGAATTTACAATTGGCTTTCCATCAACTAACAAAACAAACATCCATGTGATAGATATGATATGATTTATTGCTGATAAGGAAAAAGATAATAATTGATGTGGTTGAGGTGTAGCAATCAGATTTAGTGATAATAGGGCAATGATAACGCTAATGATTGTTGATATTTTAATGATAATGCAAAATAAAGTGATGAAGATTATATCAATTAGATCAATGATAATAATGATAATACTGGTTAGATCAATGATAATAGTGATAATACTGATAGATACATGCATAAACAATATGGGCTATAAAATGTCCTCGATCTTAATCATACATTTATGATTTTAATAGCTTAAAAAAGGACTGTAACAATTACAAATTCAAAAATATTTAGTAATTAAAATGGCTTAAATTCTCTTTTCCTTTCTTTTGATTGTTATCTCTAATTTGTTGTTTAAAAAAAGGAGAAATTGACAAAGAGAAGAAAAAAAGGAATTGGAAGATTATATAAAAATATTTGAAATAATTTTATGTCGAAAAATTGTTAATGAGACAAATGGTGCAAGCAATCTAATTAAATATCAGAAATAAAAATCAGTAATTCATATCTCTTTTTCATAAGCCACTTCTTACTTTTATTAATTGACGTAATTGACGTAACATTTTTTGCTTTTATTAGTTGACGTAATTGACGTGACATTGAAATAAAATGTCATTTGTTTGCAAGTTTAATAAAGCAACAATATATATTAAAATCTCCCTTAATTAAGTATAAAATAATATATTAATTAAGTATAAATTTTCTTCTCCTAATTAACACAAAGTAAATATTTTGAAAAAAAAAAAATGATTGAATAGTTTGACAAAATGAATGATAGAATAGAAATTACAATAACAAAATTGTTACACTTGAAAATTGCTGTAACCTTGAATCAAATATGCAAATAATGATTACAATAATAGAAATAATCATAAAAATAAGTGGTAATTATGTAGATAATGATTATTATGATGAAAAATTGATAGTTTTAATAAAAATAATGATTTGAATGATCATTACAAGTTATTATGATAAGTGTTCACTTTAAAAAAAATCTATGTAATATCTCACATTTTGTTGAATAAGCATTATATCATAAAATTTTCACCTGTACAGGTAGCACTGATCTAATCACAAATGAGGAAGTAAAGAGAAAAAGAAGATATATTAGGACGATTTCAGTGGATGTTTGTGTAAAAAAAAGATAAAATAAAGAACCATAAGCAAATTACGATTAGATTATTAATAACAAATGAACTTGTCGTCCCTTAATTTCAATTTAGACATTTGAAATTTGATAAAAGAATAAGTGATAGTCATTTATTCATCAAGAATATTCGAATTGATGAAGCCAAGAAAGCTTTATGTTAATCACTTTCGGTACAATTATATGGGCTTTTATCATATCCTTAATGATAATTAGAGATGTGATAAAAGTAACCTTTGAAAAATAATAATTATTTAATGACCTTATGCTAAATGAAGCATTTCAACTTCGAAATATTGCAAAAATTTTTAATTTTCTTATGAATATATTCATTTTTTTTAAATGGATATTTTTTTCAGTTAAAAAAATCATTAATTAAATAAGACATTAATAATCTTTATTTTATTTAGTTACTTTATTTTTTTCTAATTGTATTATGATTAATTATTTAATTACGTTGACAATCAAGCTAATTCCAATTCAGCAATCAACTTTTATTTCTTTATCAGTTCCCTCATTTGATAAACTGATCAAACGATCATTATTGATTACTGAAAAGTGGAATTCTACAATGATACCTATATGTCTTGTCTCGCATCATAAAAATTCACCTTGACCTATATCTTATCAAAATTTAATCTTTCTTTGTGTTATTTTTAGACCATCCATTCAGTATTTTTTATCATTTTCTTTAATGTTCAATTAATTCATTCTGTTCTTTTTTTACTCCTTTCTACCTTTTTAATTTCTTTTAAAAAAAATTTTTTCTTTCTTTTTTTTTCTTTTTTAAAAAAAGAATGTCATCAAATGTTTTCATAATTGTCATAAATGTTTGTACGTATATATTTAACTGTTTATGTGTCATCCAAGTATGGTGGTTGGGTGCTACGGAAATAGCTGATTGCATCTTTGTTAGCGAATTAAAAAATTTCAAAGAAAAAAAAAATGAAAAAAACTGGTCTAAGAAAATTCAGTTCTCTTTTTTTTTGTCATTCTGCGCCCTCAGAATTGCGCCCCGTTATTTAATAGATGAAGAAAAAATATTGTGATTATATACGAAATGATTATTCTCCAAAAATGGGATCTACTGAGAGATAGAAGAAAAAAAAAGAACAAAACAAAGAATAAAAGATTCTTTTTTAGATCATAAAAAATAACATTGCAACGATAATGCTAAATTTTCAGTAAATTCAATCGATGGAATCAAAATTTAATACTGATAACAAGTTGGGAATGCTAAAATTTAATAAGAAGCAATTCGTAAATAGCAAATTTTGAATAAGCTAAAGAAAATTTTAGCATTTCCTAGTCCATCAAAAAACTTTGTGATTTGAATCATATCATTTAGAAAAATTATAAATATCGTAAATATCTTTTATGCTATCAGTTGTTAGCCTTTCTCAGTGAATGGATCAAATTCAAAATTTTAAATTTGATAAACAAATTATCAATCTTCACAAAAAAAAAAAAAACGATTAATTGGGGTCATAGTGCATTTCTCTTCTGCACAAAACACTATTATCTTCTTCTGTAATTAATTGAAAATAATGTAAATCTGCAAAAAAAAAAATTTTTTTTTTGTTTATTTCTGTGTTTAGGGCGAAAAGAGTTAGAAAAACACTTATTTATTTATTTTTTTCTTAATCGAAAATTTTGAAATCCATACGGCAGAATTAAATTTATTTCCAAAGAGATCAAAACATTAAATATTAGTGTAAAGAAATACTAGGTATAGACGTAAGATAAAAGTAAAGAAGAACTATGAATTTGAATGACATAAAAGATTGACAATAATTATCAGAAATCAACAAATCAAGACATCGAGAGTATAAAATAAGCTTAAGAGCCGTATTAAGCCTATGCTTATCTGATATGATAACTCATTAAATACTGCCAAACCATTTATTTTTTCTTTTACCCTTCTCTTCTTTTATTTCTATTGTTGATTGTTTCCCATTCCCTACTGTTCTTTCATCCGAAACAAACAAACAAACAAACAAACAAAAAGAAAAAAAAAAAAACTAACCTTATAAATAGGAACTGTCAATTTTTGCGCTGTCGTACACCTTTCGGTGTAAATTTTCATTGTTGTTTCTAGTATTGTTTATTTATTATGGACACACTAGTCTTCCAACTCGTTCTCCAGCTAAATTTTTTAATAATTATGCAAATTTCTTTAGTACATTTTGGATCATTTCGAGAAATGAAATATTCACCGCGTCTTAAGCTTATCCAGAATTTCGTCAAATTTCAATTAATCTTTTAATGATGATTTTGTACAGGATAATCCCAAATAATGAGGCAGAAAAATGAAAAATATTGATGAGAAGAACCTTTTTTTTGTCCTGTAATTTAATTTAAAATTAAATCTTTATCACAAATATTATCAGTAATATGCGAAAGTGAAATAGCAATAATATTATTACTAGTATCATTTACTTTAATTAATTATAACCATTACTATTGCCAGTAGGATACAATTAATTATCAAGTGGAAATAAATCTATCAAAGAGATTGTTCAAGTAAGTAATCATGCATATATTTTTTCTTAAGTTAAAGAAAAACTTAAAACATTTAAATTTTGTTATGATAAATATTTTTTTAAAAAATAATAATTAGTAATTACGTGGTACTACCATTTAATCAATTACTTTAAGAAGTTCTTCAGTTATTTATTACATTTTCCGTTATTTTTACCCTTTTAATTTGCTTCCATAACACTTTCAATGAATTATAACACAAATAATGAAGTGCTAAGTATTTACTTACTTTCATTTATGACTTAACTTATTTGCTCTTCCTTTCAAGAATTATAAATTACATTTCTTCTATCTTATCTAAGCTTTTGTTTATGTATCATTGAAACATTGTTTATTAGTAAAATGGAATTAATAACATTCGTTAAATAAAAATTTTAAATCAACTAAAAGAATTACTGGAAAATTATACAAATTTTGAGAAAGTCCAATAAACGGAACGGAAGATTATACGGCGCTAACAGTGCCAAATATTTTTACTTTATGTCTATTAATTTTTCATGCTAAAAAATATATGAAATTTGATAATCATAATTTTATTCAGCTTCGTTCACTTCTGATAGTCACAGATTCTACTTCATTCATTTCTTAATGATTACACTAATGGAACTGATATCAATTGATTATCAATTGAAATTTATATAAATAATCATTCTTTCTCATTATATTAATACAAAGAAAAATTTGTTTAAATTTGTAAATAATTACAAATATAAAATATTTAAGAAGAAATTCTAAATTTATGTATTAAAAAGAAGAAGAAGAAAAAAAACTGAGCATCTTTGAGGGTGGAAGTGATATTTAAGTAAACGTCCAATAAACCAGTTTATCAGCAAAACATAACAAAATAGTTAAATTGTAAAAAAAAAAAAGAAGTTCAGAAGCAGAAGAAATGCAAAAAAGTTCAACTAAATTTCGTTTTTTTTTTTTTTTTTTATTCCATTTCATCGGTTTTAATATAATACAAATTAACAAATTGCTGCGAAAAAAAAAAAAGCAAAAGAAAAATATGGTTTTAAAGAAACGTAAGTGCAAGAATAAAAAAATGATTTTTAAATCATCATTTTCTCAAGAATGAAAAATAAAAAATAAACTTTACTATGATAATTTCAATTAATATCGTAATATTTATTATCTGTTTGTGATTAGGATTATTTACAAAAATGATAAAAAGATGAAATATTTACCATATTAAATTATATGCAAAGGTAGAGGAAATAACTAATCAAAATTTGTCATTGAAATATTTGGTGACAAAGTATGAAAATGACATTGGATAATACATAAATCTAATTCTTTCATTTTTGTCCTTTTTTTTTTTTAATTTAATTTGATTTAGTTATGGCTTTACTTCCGGTCAGAGAATTCCATCTATCATTATTGCAATATTGGCATTAGTATTGAAGTAGTATTATCCAACAGTTATGATGATTGTAATGGAAAATAAAAATTATTGATAATGAAAATAGAAATGGTTGAGTGATTGTCATTTTTGGCATAAAGTAATGAAACATGAAATGATAGTAAAATTAATGAAGGTAAAATAGCAGGTAAAAATGAATGAATGAATGCAAACAGTAAAACGAGTTATTCAAGATCATTCCATTAATTTTACTATCAATGTCTTTTCAATCAGAGAGTGATGTTATCTTAATTTGTTGATATAGTAAACAATAAATACTTTCTTTAATTGAAAAACAATAATAATAGTAGTAACAATAATGATAACAATAATTGCAAGAAAAATAATGATAATAACAATAATTATTAATAGTGATAATGGTAATAATAACAATAACAGTAATAATAATTATAATAATAAAGTAGCCTAGAGAACTTATGTTTTAAGAGATATAGCGTAAACAAAGTGTAAATTAAAAAAAAAAATCATGTCAACAACAAAGTTAAATGACAAAGTCTCTCCAGACATACATATCAAGGTTATATTCCCAATACTAACGAACTACATAAAAAAATTTACTGATGACAATCATATGGCAACAGGTAAAGTGTAAAGAAGGTATGTTGAAGTAATAAGTTACCTTTTGTTCCCTATTAAAGTAATGAAATGAAACATTTAAGTCTTTCTTAACAGATAAAAAATGTAGTAAGAAAGAAGGGAACGATAATTATATCTTAAATAGTTTATAGAAATGAAAAAATTAACCGATTTCAAGTTCAAGTAATGATTAAATCATTAAAAAATTACAGCATGATAGTATTATGAGTAAATGATAATTTTAAGATAGCAATTGTGAATTACAGTGCTTACTTACTCATAGTGATAAGATGATAAGAAGTCGAGAAAAGATCAAGCATTTCTGGAAAGAGATGTAGTTCAAGTAGAGATACCAGATCAGATAAGTTAAAAATGATTGAATAAGAAATTATCATTGAGATATTTTCGGTATCATTGAATATATGAAAAATGATTGTGTGGCGAGAATAACGGAAAATATTAATGAAAATAGCATCTCAAGTATTTTCTCGAAAATTTGTTTATAAGATAAATGATAAAATTAAATTCATTGTGAAGCAAAGTTGTTAGTAAATGAACAAACGAAAATTCTCACATCTATTCTCGAGGAAAAAAAAAAAAGCAAGAAGAATGAAATATTCCAGAACGAAAAGAAAGCTAAAAGTAAAATATGTAAAGAACGAGAATAAAGGTGCAATATGGGAATGAGAAGAAAATTTAAACATTTTACCTTCGCTGCCTTTCTTTAATTTAAGAAATTTTGCTGCTTTCAATTTTCTGAAGCGAAAGTGCGCATAGTTGATCGAGGCGTTCTGAAGAAACTGGTTGATAATATCTCTGTGCTGTGATTTGTGATGTTGGGCGCTGCTGGTCATAGTAATAGTTGCAGTGTTGAAGATGATGATGATGATGATGATGATGATGATGATGACAGTGATGATGATGATAATGATGACAATGATGACAGTGATGATAATGATAGTAGTGATGATAATTGTGGCAAATAATGATGGTAATAATTAGAAACGAACGTTTTCATTTATTGTCTTTTTTGTGATTTGTTAGAGATCCAAGACAGAAATGATCAAATAAATAGGAAAGATAGGAGAACTGGAAATGAAAAGAAAGAGCAAATCAAATAAATTAGAATAAGTTTAAATCGATGCTTAGTTATAAAGTAATAATAAGTTGAATTTTTTTGATAAGAAAATATTTATTGCAATTGCAAAAATGAAAATATGGAAGTAAAATGGAGATAAGTAATTAAATTAAGGAAATAAAATGTTATAATTTCATTCATTGTCTAATTGACAACAAATATGAAACAATTTTTCTAATCAAACAAATTTAAAGTAACAGCGCAGATTGTAATAATAAATGCATTATGATTTACTAATAATTATTACTAATCTATTTTCAGTAGATTGAGCGGCGCAAATGTTAACATAAGAAAAATCTTTGAAATGTAATAACATGGAAAATGTTTCAGTATTAAAATTTCAAAAGGAATTATTATAGATAAGGAAAATCATTGGACTGATAAAAAGCCGGTTACATCATTATCATCATCATTCATTGCCCATTATTCATCATCTAACGTTATCATCATTATCACTATTATCATGATCATTCAATTATTCTCATAATCTCTTTTCTTTCTTGAATAGAACTACTGATTACGACAAGATTTTGGAAAATTTTAGTCGGAGTTTTATCAAATAATAGGCGAAAACAATAGATGAGATGACACAATGAAGGATGAAATGATATTTAATGGGTAGTAATGTATTTACCCGTTCTATCGGGTAAATACATTACCACCAATTCCTATTGATAACTAAAATGTACTAATATTAGGATTATTCTTGATGCAATTGATAATTCTGTTTAATTTTTTTTTATCTTCCTGAAAAAAAATCTTTCGTTTATTTCTTCACAAACATCTCTTAATAAAATACATTTATTAAAATATTAATATATTTATGAATTTATTTTTTCAAATTAATAAAAGGTAAATTTTTAAGCAAAATTCTTTACAATCAACAAGACAATTTGGAATTATCCATAAAAGACATCGTTGTAACTTTGTAAATTTTCTTCCATAATTCTACATTTTCTACCAATTTTGCGATTTATTGTAATTTTTCATTTCTAAGAAAGCAAACTGCTTTCTATTGTCTTTTTGTTATTGAATCAGTTCAATTGAATTTAATTCAATTCAATTTATTTCTTTCTTATCATTTTTGATGATGGAATTCTCAAACATCAAACATCTCTTCTGCATTCTTAGCTGAAATACAAAAGAAATGAATTTTTTTCTTATAAATGACCCTATTGTTGATATGTGTCACTTTTGTCAACAAAAAGTAATTGTTGAAGTTGTATTAATCATTGACAAATCTCAATTAATAAATTAAAGGTAAATGACTAAATCTTTATTTCTAAATGATCTTTTCATAAAATATTTCAAAAAAAATTTTGAAACAAAATAAAAATTCTACTGCTGCAATCATTTTACTTTCTCTAAAAGATTGTCAAAATAAGCGCTTTATAACTTTTTAGCCGAAAGA